TTATTAATGGGTAAGATGTCAATACTCTAAAACTGCAAGATGGTAAAATTTCAGTTTGGTGTGTGATTAGATTCTGTGGGCTCCAATCATGAAATAATGAGGCAAAACGTAATGGAGCAATAAAGTATCTAATGCACGGGCTTCCATGTTACAACCCTCAAAACCAGTCAATCATTCGTTCCTTTAATTAATTTCTTGTTTAGCATCATTCATATTAAGAATTACTTTTCCAAAGGAAAAAAACTAAACCGTATTAACCCAAATATATTTGAACAGCCCTGACACAGCAATATTAAATCCACAACCTTTAAGAATATGTATGACCTTCAAGAACAAGACACCCCAGTCCAGTCAGTAAAAATATTCCCCACAACCAATGGACCATGTAACAGTTTCTTGATCAGGCAGTAGAGTCCCACGTCAGCTTATCTTGATTAAGAAAGACATTGCAAGCTGTTAGTTGTAATTCCCTACATTGTTTCAATAACAATTTCTGTATGGTAGGAATCCCAAAAGAAACTCACACTGGATAAATATACTAATAGCTATAAACCCAATTAATAGGTCCTCCTCCATCAATATGATACCAGAGTAAGTGAACTTTAAAATCATAGATTAATTTTGGTTGGAAAAGACTTCTAAGATCATCAGGTCCAACAAGTTACTGAAATGTCTGAAAACCAGTATTTTCCATCAATTACATGTTGTTGCTGCTAAGCTAAACATAAACATTTTAAAATCAAGTGATGTGGTAGGTGTAAAGATGACAAAATATTTCAGTCTTGAATTTGGCAGTCCAGAAGTATAATGAGAATATTATTAAATTGTGTCTCAGTAGAAATAAAGTAAGAGCAGTACAATCAAAATTTTATCTTGTTTTTAACATGGACAGTACTAGCAGTTTTGTTAGCAGAGCCACATGAAGTAAATGGGGCCATCTGCAGGAATGAAAAAGTCCAAAATTTACAGGTCAACATGAACCCTTCTGATTTAAACACTGATAAAAGCATAAACAGAATAATTTCACAGGGCTCTGTTCTGTCCTACTACTGAGTTTTCATAATTTGTTTCATTTAAGCACCATTCTGCGATTTACCATTAAGATGTTAAAGGAAGCTGCTACAGAAAAAAAGGACACTGAGTTACAGATTAAAAGTGGAAACACATAGGCAAATATTGAGTCAAAGAAGATGCATCTTTAGAATATAAGCTGAGTTTGCCTTCTTTCTGTACTGAGCTTCTGACTTTAAGAGAAAAGAGAATAAAGGGCAGGTATGTATCTTTGAACTGCTTGTCCCTGAAAGACATTACAAATGTCTGAAAAATTAAGAAGGCAAATTAGCTGTATAACATTTTTATTTTAGTATATTGACATTTTATCCACAAATACTTTATCCGAGTAAAAATAAAAAATAATTGTTTCATGGAAAATTACAAAAAAAAAAAAAAAAAAGCAAAACACAAAAGAAATTTGTAATAATTAGCAGAGTACAAGTGTCTTTATTTAAAGAGTAAAAAGTATGCAAAACCCCTTCTGTTTTACAAAAATTGGGAATATTCTATGTTTTCCTTCTGGCAGCAACAGAAAATCCTTTGACAATATATTCTACATCTTTTGTTTTACTGAAGACATCAAGTTAGTCACAGATTTCTCCCTCAACTACAGACAGTGTGATAATAATTTTATACCACTTGAAAGGTTCTTTCTTTACTAATTAGAACATGGTGGAAAAGCAGATGGAGCCACAACAAAGAACCCCAAGGACCTTTACTCCTACCGAAAGGCTGCAGAGCAACAACAGGATGTAATCACAAAAGATGGGAGCAGAAGTTTCCCCCATTGGCCTTACCATGTAACAAGAAGAGGCAGGGGGATGAAGTATTGACACTGCTTTTCAATTTTGCTGTGTGTTTATCCACAGTCCAGTTTGATATAGAAAGCTGGTTATTTCAAGCTTCTTTTCTTTTTATCCTGTATTTTAACTAAAAAGGCTTCTCAAGAACTCTGCTAACTAGAAGTACTGACTTGTACTGGACTTGTGTTTAGTCATGGAATGTTGTTACAAGCAGAGTTGCTGCCCTCAAACATCAGCTTCACATAATTCTTGGTTAAGCAAACCTGCATCTCCTGCACAAGACACCTCCAACACTTGACATCAACTCTAACAGCAAGAAAAGGGGTGATGTTGACCTTTTATGACAGATACATTTACATTTTTTGCTCAGGGCTTACAATTTTTTTGAAAAGCAAAATGGCATCAGCATGCTCAGCAGATGGAGTGCTGTAAGAACTCAAGGATGAAAACAGTAAGAGTTACCAAAATAATCCAGCAAAAAACCTTTGATTTTATAATCATGCCAATGATGAAAAAACACAAGTTAGAACTATATGCAAACCTTATAGTCAAGCAAAAACTATCTGCAGATGAGCACCCACCTACAAAAAAACCCTTGTCTTCAACACATCTTTAGGATACACAGAAGTCTTTGTATTCTCTGCCTTCTGCCTGCAAGTGTAACCATTTCTGCTCGGCTCAAGAGCAGCAGCCCAGTGCTCTCACTGCTCAGCACAAACACACTTTGTTCAGAATCTCACTGTTCAAGGACTTCAGATTTAAGGTTTAAGAGTAGCTCGATCCCTAACAGAATTAAAGGTCTTCCCTTGTAATTATTTAAGTGTAACCAGAGGGGGTTTAATTTATAAAAAGTTGGTGAACATCAATGCTGACATAGTAATTATACTGTTTATTAGCAGGAAGAGGCAAAAGCAACCCCCAAATCATACCATTCTCAGACATCAAAAGAAGCAGTCTAAGAGATGCCAGTATGGAAACTCAAAAGCTGAAGCCGACTTTTTACTGCATGTGTAAGTTTGCAAGAAGCACTGAGTAGCTCAGAATTCAGGATACATCCCAACTATTTCTGACTCAACATCCAGACTTCAAATTGCACCCAGCTCTGGAGCATGCATTTGGCTTAAGTAGCTTTAAAAATATCACTTGAAGTTCAAAGAGAATTTAATTTTAAATAAAAGGTACCACTTTGTAGTTAATATACGTTAGACTATACAATGATTGGGAAATGAAACCACAGTTCTTTGTAAAACTATTTTGAATTTGCTTTCTGTTCCTAACCAGGGACTACTGACTGTGATTAACTTAAGTCTTTGGACACTAAGGTTAACTACCATGTAGGTATAAGCACCTTGCAGAACACAGCATTAATACTCCCCACCAAAACAATCTACTCTTTGGGTGAGGGCTGTTTTTTCAAGTTTTTTAATTACCTGATGGGGAACGGCATGGGGGGAAGAAGTTCACCTTTGCTTTCTGCAAAATGGCTAATATCAAGTACGTATTTCAAAACAGGTATTTGCCCTCATATATGTATATTATGTGCATACTACAATGAAATACTCATAATTGGCTTTTCACCTAAGCCATATCTAAACCTGGATCTTCTTCTTCAGCACTGATCTCCAGTTAAGTCTCAACTTAAGTTTCCTTTGCTTTTAAACACAGAAGCTATTTTAAGAACTTGATGCTTTGTAACATTTAACATGTCTTTCAGCTCCACTTGATTAACAGAATAATGAATATATTGTAAACTTTGAAAGCATCAAATGCGATTTGGTAGTTCAGCAGAGAACAAAAGACTGGAAAAGGCTGCATTCACAGAACTGATCAGCCTGGGGACTACAGGGACTTAATTTTTGTTAAAAGTGTTGCAGAAATTACTTTGCACAGCTGTGGTCACAGGCTCCACCTCTCACTAGCTGCAGAAGTTGGGGTAATCCCTTAACTTACATTAAAATAAATGCTGTTAAAAGATCCAAATTTATGCATGTCTGAGTTCTTTATAGAAATTAATGTTCTATATTGTACAATTAAGAAACAAAAGACGTTTCCAATTCTGATCAAGGTAAGAGCTTGATCCAACTGCTCTGCTTATAGAGGAAAGGCCTCAGGTTCCCACTTACAGGTCCCAGTGCTTAATTATCTTTCTCTGCTTGCAGGGATGCTGTAGCCAGTGCCACTGCTGTAACTGGCTGTGCAATGCCATGGAGCTGCATCTTGGCCAGCTTCTTCTGCTCGCACTCTGTGACCAAGCGGTTCAGCTCTGCTGCGCTGTACCCAATCAGAGTCTTCAGGTCACACACAAATTTGTACACAAACCTCTTGCCTTGCACCTTGCAGATCATGTCTCCATCATAGTAATACCTGCAAAATAGAAATCAGCAACAGAGAATTTTAGCACCTGTAATTTTCATATGCACCCATTACTTACTTAAGGTCGCCAGAGGCTAAAATATTATTGTTTTTCTCATTGAGATTCTCATAATTTCATATTCCAAGATATTGCTTAGGCATTTTCTATATGAGAAAAGGGAAGTGTTGAAAATTATCTCTTGTACCTTAGTATATTAAGGAGAAATAAAACACAGTAATTATTTTACAGGCTACTGGAAGCACCAGTTCAGGATTAAGTCCTAGAGCAGTTTAAAAACAGCTTGGCAGGGAAGATGTCGTATATATAGTGCTTTGCCTTAATACTTTCTCCTGATTATGGTCCTTTGCTTTTCTTTTCTGATGAAAAAATTAATGCTGGAAACAGGCTGAAAATTACCAAGCAGTTTGTATTATATGAAAGAAGCTATTCTCTCCACACTATCTTCAAAGATGGAAATAAAACTAGGAAGGCATGTGTTGGATTTGTTGGTTTAGTTTTTTTGTTTTCTTTGTTCTTTGTTGGGTTGGGGTTATTTTGTTATATAAGGCATATGCTGTCAAAACTGTATCTTTGCCTTTATTTACAACTAAAAGTGAGTCCTCTAGCTATAAATTTCTTTTATATTGCATGACAAAAGAATTATCAGATTGGGCAGAAATATAGGGAGAGAACAAGGTCTACATGACCCAAACCCCCCTGCCCCCCCCCGACAGTTTAGGTCATACCAATAAAACAGAAGAGAGAATTTTTCAGTTTTGTTGCTGCTCTACTCTCACTACAAGCTTCAATAGAATGTGTATCACATTTCTCATTAAGGAAACTTAAATGACTGGGATGTAACTTGGATTTGATGAGCTTGAAAGCTTGTGATAAATTTGGAAAATAATAAAAACTCAACCAACTCACATAACATAATTTCCTCAAAACCATCACCCAATTTCCTGACTGTCCAGAACTCAATTCTTTGACATGTTCATAAAGCAAAGATGATTCTTGCTCAGTAGCAAAATTAAGTCAATTAAAAGACGAACTTCTGACTCCCAGCTCTAGTGGAAAAGAGGTAAGTAACTAAGAATCCCAGCAAATTCTTCAGACATCTCAAGTTCTGGAAAAATAAGCCTTTTAATTTCTTACTTTTGAGGGTCGGGACCTAAGCAGCAGGACCAAAGACAGAGGAGAGACAGGCTGTGTAGAAAACAATGTTGGTAAATCTGCTGGTTACTGAGATCATACAAGAAACTGCAGAGCTCTGTCATGGAGTACAGGAAGTGTCAGAGTAACTTATTGCTCTGTGGGTAAAGACAGTGTGGTTTGTTTATTAAAGCTCTCCTTCAGCTTTCTCCTGAGTGACATAAAATTATAAATGCTTCCTTTTCAGTCCTTCTCCTCACTCGACCCCTCAAACTACCACCTGCCTCCCTCAACTCCTCCATTTCCTTCTCTGCATCTCTAGGCTTACTCTTGGCTGCTACTACAGCTTCCTCCCAGCAATTCTCCATGCCAGTCCTGCCCTCCAAAACATCTCAGCACCAGCTGAAGGAACTGCTGTGGAATGCTGTCCAGCCCTTTCAGCCTCTTATTGAGGTTTATTTGCAGTGGGTTGATTGAACTCTGTAAACGTGAGGGTGGGATCATAATTTATTTTCAGCTTTCAAGCAGAGTCTTGTAGTATTGGGCAGAATTGGAGAAGGATGAGCAATAACCTGGTGCATCCCTTGTGTGTGAAAGGGAACGCTGGGTTCAGTGTGGGAACACTGGGCAGACACTCATGTTGAATATGACAGGGTAGAGGACATAGAAAAACTGAGCTCTGCTCACTTGGGGAATTATGAAGCAGAAAAACAAAGTCTGCAATACGTGGCCATGGCATATGTCAAGTGGCAGTAATCATCATTTTTTAAAGTTTGTTAACTCTGTACAAGCCTTTCCATTTATTGCACAATCCCACAGAATCATTCCTATCTCAAAAAGTGCTGTAGAAAAATGTTTTAAAAAACTGAATATACTTTGAATTACTTACTCCACATTACTGATACGATCGGAAAGGAAAAGGATCAAAAGAAATTAGATCATGCTTATATGAAGGCCCAAAACATGCAAGATTCCCACATCTCATGCTCAAAACACTCAAGTTAAAACCAGTTAATGTGGCGAGAGGATATTTTCAATACTATGTTGAATGTATTTCTGATTACAGCATTTGCCTACTCAAAAATAAAGAAAGCTAAAAATACGTAAAATTAAATACCCATGCAAATTCACAAAGTTACTGGAACATTCCAAGACACATGGAAACTTTGTTTCAGAATAATACAGATGAATTATTTTTCTTCAAGTCTTACCTCCCTACTGGATAACTAAACAGACCTGTATTTTTAGAAAAATTACCAAAATATGTTGGTAAAAGTTATATAACAAAATATAAATGTTTATAACAAAAAAAAGCCTCTCTCCCCTTTCTGCCCCTCTGCCCTAGTTTCTATATGCCTGCTTTTCCTACAGCTGGGCAGAAGAGCCAGCATATTTCCCAGTAGTACCAACATAATTTCCTGTATTAATCAATAATTGACACTGTGATTTCAATACATTAGTAAACAAAACACATAATACTTTATTAAACTTCAGCTTGGCAACAGTGTTTATCACAGGAGCAGCAAGAGTCATCCCTTCAGACAATAAACTGTTAGAAAACATGTCAATAATGATGCAGCTGCCAAAATAAAACCACTTTGATGAATGCGAATTCTGTAATTCTGTGACTAAAATATAAATGTGAAACTTTTCTAGTAGTGATTTATGCAAACTGGTGTTTAATAACCCACTGATAAGAACATTATTCCAAAGTTCTTCAGCTGCCTTTGGGATCTTCTGTGGAGCTTGTTGACTAAACCCAAAAACATCAGCATGGTTTACATATTTTTTATGTATCAGAAGGTTTTCACATATGCCTTTAGTACACAGACTCACAGATACACAGGTTGGAAACATGGGAATGGTATTGGAACAATACAGGCTGGGGAAGAGCTGTACTGGAAAGGTCCTGCTTTGAGCAGGAGATTAGACCAGAAACTTCCTCCAGCACTCCAACCCAAGAGAGTCTGTGATTCTATGAAAAAAAAGTAACAATCTCATTAATATATAAATAATGCAAGACCAGACTAAAGATTCATGTAGAACAGGAATAGGCTCCAAGAGACTGAAAAAAGAAACAAGACTCCAAGAGACCTAAGGAAAAGCATGAGAGTAAGTACCTACCAATGCTCCTCCTTGCTTTTAGTGACCTGAGGCTCAGGAACTCTCATAAGTTGCATCTTTCAATACCTAATATTGTTCAAAATATTTGTTTTTCATTAATTTTTCTGCTTGTCTGTCAAACACATAAAATAATTCTGGCACCTGCAGTACTGTGTCTAAAGAAGTTCTAAGACAAACAAAAGGGTATAGTTTAGCTGTGTATCTCATGCCTGTCAAATGCAAAATAAACACTCCCTATAAAGGGTAAAAAAAGCCAGGATATGATACTTCATCATAATTTCTTACAGAGGTATTTTCAAATAGAAGTTGATATTTTTATATAATGCTAGAGGAGTTCACTTCAAAAAAAAACCAACCAAGCAAACAACACATATCCAAAAGTGAAAATGCTAGTAAGTAAAGCACACACCTCAATCAAAATGCAACTTCACTCATACAAAAAGAATTTCTAAAACTGCTTGAATAATTTGCAGGACTAGGCAAAAAACTTCTTTCTTGAAAACAAATCAAGACAAATATATTTAACAATATCAGAATAAGAAATCAGAAGTTCTCAATGATTTCAAAGAACATGAATGAATTTTCAAATGATTCCAGAGACTAAAACAATCAGGGAAAAGTAGTTTAAAATTCAGGTACTTGCACTCTTCCCCCTCTTCAAGTACGTCACCCACAATGAATCAATAAAAGTCCTTTTTATCAATGTCAAACTAAAAATCTCAACCAAATGAAGGTACTGAAATACTTTCATTTCTTCAGATCACTGTGATGTTGGAAAGGCAACTGTTGGAACATGGCTGTCGACTGTATTTTTCAATTTAAGATCCACACAATAAGAACAATGACATGAAATAATGAATATTTGAAGTTAGAAAAGGTTCGTGCATACAGAAAATCACTAACAATTACAGACAAGTATCTGCTTTATTTCAAAACAAGAGCAAGAAGAATACGGACAGTAGAACATAAAAATAAGTTAATATTTCACATATTTTTATATCTTTCATCAATAATCAAAATTGTTTGGCATGCTACTAAAAGCATAAATATTGATGATAAACAAAAACCAGGTATATTTCTGGAAGTGAGCAACCCAAATTAATGATCCTGAAAAAAGAAAATCTATTTTCAATGGGTTATTCTACTAGCTTCTTTAAAAATGAAAGGAAAAAAAAAAAACCCACAAAGGCAAAAAGCCCAGCAAATACCCCTCCCCTGCAATTAGCAGGATCTCATTGCAAGGACCAGCTTTAGAAGACTTGCCTTTACTAAAAAATAACCAAGTTTTGCATTATGTTACTCATTTTTATGAGATAGCCAAATGAAAGCAAATAATACCCCATGAGTTCCTTAATTTTCTTACCTCAAAGCCCGACTAAGCTTCTCGTAGTTCATTGTGGGCTTGTTCTTGCGCTGTCCCCATTTCTGTGCAACCAGCTCAGGTTGATTCAATTTAAACTCTCCTTCATCACCAACCCAAGAAATACAGTCCCGAGCATCTTTGTCTGTGAGAAGTTCTAATAAAAACTGCCACAGCTGGATCTGGCCGTTGTTCCCTGTTAAAACAGGAATAACAAGTTTCATTTCAACTTGTCCTTTTCATGTTCCATTCATAGCTAAAAACTTGCAACCAACATATTAAAGCAGACCAGCATAGACTATATGATGGAAGGAAAACTTCCACTTAATTAATCCCTTCTAATGTTCCTTTCACAAATATTTTCCTGCAAAGTTATCAGTACCCATTTTTATTAAAAAAATTATCAATACAGGAAAAAATTAATCAAGATTTCACATAAATCTTCCCCTAGAACTTAAAAAATCACAACTCCCTCAACATAATCATTTAGAAGCATATCTGTCTTTAAAACAGAACAGATTTATCAAGAGCTGCTAATTCATCTTCACACATACACGCATATATGTGTAATAGCTATTTTTAAAAAAAAATTTGGTCTCAAATTTTCAACATGAAATATGAGAAAGACAGAAGAAACACTCAAATTTCAGTTTATATCAATGTTGCATCTTTCACATCCAATCATTAAGATTTTTTTCTAACTCAAGTACCCACAGTAAAATTCCTAAATTCTCAACGAGATAAAGAGAGCAGACCTGATGACTAAAGAGAGAAACACACAGTATTTCTCACTAATGTCAGCTAATAAAACCTTAGCCTTAAAATTCTGAATGACATCATTAGATGGATGTCATAGATGCCTTTATAGAGTCTAAAACAAATAAAAATTCAAGGAGGAAGAGAAGGAAGGATTTAACAGAAAAATTCACAACATTAAAGAGAAGCAAAACAAAAATGACGGCAAGAAAAAAATAAAGAAATTAATAATCAAAGAGTATGTACAAATAACCGTGATTCCAAAATTAAACTACGAATTTAGTGTGCAGTTTTCCAGACATGCATTCATTCAACTAAAAAAGAAATATGAAACTTTATAAATTTTGAAGTCACCAGATTGGGGAAAAACAGAGGAGGAGCACAACATATAGTGCAAGTAGCAGCTAGGCTACATTTTACAACATAGTTTATTTTCTTCCCTTTCTACAAACAGAAAAAAGTTAAAAGCTCGAATAAATGCCATGCAGTGGTTTGAGAGGACAGATTGTTAAGCGGTGGGGAAACACATCCATTTTATTTCCTTCAGAATGGAAAAAACCTGCAGCATCATGTTGACATGGTGCCTATGTGAGCTGACCAACCTGCCAGGGCTGCCTGTGCTTACCACAGATTTTTGTACCTATGGCTCCCTTCACACCACTCCCTTCACAAAGACCCCTACAAACCTCACATTTGGAGCTACAAAAACACATCTCACCAAACTGCAGTTCAAATTAATGGGTCAGTGTTCAGCACATTAGCATGTAAAAACAGTGGAGGCAATACCTGTTCTGTTCCCAGGAGAGCTCCTATCTTCCCCGGAGATCCTTGGAGCTCTCTGTACTTTAGCTGCTTTTGCACTGCTGTTTATCACTTTGATGGTGGTTGGGGTAGCAGGCTGTACAGATGCTGGTATAATCTGCACAGCTGTAGAGCAGAGAATGTTGCAGAACATTAACAATAAATTGCTCGCACAGAAATAGGCATATTTTATTATTACCTGTATTATCATAACATCTAGAAACTAGTTTTTTTCGTTTGCTAAAAAGGCACATTGCATTAAGTCACAATGCTAAATATAATTTAAAGACCTTTTTACCTCTTATATGAAAATTTCAGTTTTAGACTCATTGCAGAAGTGTCACATTACCAGTTTTAGTTCATCATCACGTGTATTACATGCTTCCACAGAAAGAATACAAACTCTCTCAAGCCCTTGTTTTATCTTCATGCTGTTCCCACAATATCTGCCCTAATGTCCTTTTCTCTACAGTCACCTGACAATCTCCATACCTGATATTCAAACAGCAAACACCTTCTATTGCAATGGTGTAGGAGGATACAGATGCCCCACTCAAGCTGGCTTTAACTAGACACAACCACAGGATGTAATAAACAGTATGTCTATTTAACATATAAGATACTTATAAATTATCTGAAAATTTATTCATTTTAATAATTGATGACACTGCTTAGGTGAAAGAATGAGTTTCAAATAACTGGAAAGTTAATTTAATGTATTATTTCTAATATTGGTTTCTAAGCAAGTCATCTCTTCCACAGAACACTTAAGTTTTTGGAAACACTTTTTTATTTTAAATTAATATTTAAATAGATCCATTCATTAATGCAATATATAACCTAAAGCCCTGAAAAACGAAAAACCTCAAATATGTATCCTAGACAGCTTATTTCAAGAAAGTGAAAAATCTACCATCCAAAATGAAAGTTATAAACTTCTATAGTTCAGGTCAAACACTACCTTTCAGCTAGTAACAAAATATAGAGAAACTCAATGTTATGTTTTAAAGTTTAAAATACGTCCTCCTCCCTTTCCCAAGGAAAAATACTCTCTCAAGTAATTTTCTAAATGTTGTACTATCATACTTCTGAACCACAGTACAGTGCTAAACCTGCACACAGTGAATTGTGTGAATTAATGCTGACAGAAGTACTTACGCTGATCAATTGTAACAGTTGCTATTTCTCCAGAGTGTTCTTGGCTAGCCAACACATCTACAAGTTGGAAAAAAAATCCAACAGGTTTATATTTAACCCACAAATAACAAGTCACCTGAAGATCAAAAACTTTCTTATTTCATAGAGGAAAGAAAAATTTGGTATCCATTTGCAAGAGACATGTACAGTTCATGGTCTTATAAGTGGAGACATTTAACATCTGTCACTCATTTTTAGAAGGGTGTACATGGCAAATTTCCGCTAGCTCCATCCCCAAAAACCTTCTGCTATATTATGTAAATGAAGACAGAATTAGTTATTAGTCTAGCAAGTTACCTCCAAGCACAGTACATCTGAAATGCACATATATTTATTATGTTACTGTATTAGGCACACACAATGCATCACTTAGCAGCTGTGTTGTGTACCATCTAAGGATTTCACTTCCTGTGCTTAAAAATCTCCACTTCAATATGACAGAGAAATGTACATTTAATAACTTAAAGTCAGTATTTAATTATAGAACTAACAAATTCAGTGGATGCACAAACTATGAAGCTTTATAAAAAACAAAGGTGGAATAATCATTCACTACCTTCTATCAGTTATGAGGTTTGATAAAAGACAGACAGTGTTTAGTATGCAGACAATGTTTCATGGCAGCAGACATTCTCTTATCTTGTATTGATACCCTCGTTTTTACCATCAACATCAAGTAAAGGAAAAATGACTGCTCATAATTGGTTTCATAGTTCAAGAAAAAAGTCTAAATAAAAAACCAAACTGCCATACACTTTCGAAGAAGTTCCAGGTGGCTCCAGAGGATTTCTCCCCGTGGGACACGCTGGAAGAAATCTTCTTGGCTGAGGTTGCAGAGGTCCCGCCCAGGAATGCTGAGTGCATTGAGGTCGATGTCAGTCATGCTGAACTCCTTCATTACCCACACCACCCAGTGGAGCACCTGGTCTGTCGACCACTGAACTGGGTCTGGAAAAGAGGGATGAAACTGCAAATCACCTCATCATACACTGCAAGGTTATTATATAATAACTTCCATAAGAGTAAAAGCACAACAAGAAGCAGAGTTACTGAGACCAAATATACCTGGAAAGTTGGTGACTGCACTTAAAATGGTGATGAAATGGTGTGGGTTGGGGGGGTGATGGAAAGGGTGAAAGAACGATTTTCTTTAGAGAAAATTTTTACATCAGATCTATGCCTGACATACCTCAAACACAAAAAAAATAATTTTCTTCTTCCACTGGTCTTCAGCTTCAAGAAAAGAGTGCCCTCTCCCACAGAAGGATACTCTCCTTCAAAGATGTTGATCAGTTTGTGATTATGACAAAATACTACATTCTAAACTCATTCACATAATCTCAGTTTCTGCTGACAAAAACCACCACTGGGTATGTCTGGAATGAATTTTCTTCCCAGAAGCCCCTATTGTTTTGTACTTTAGGCTGGTGACCAAACCACTGTTAATAACACTGAGATGTTTTGATCACTGCTGAGCAGCGCTTGCAGAGGCCACGAAGGTGTGGCCAAAACTAGCAAGTGAATTTCAAAGAGAACAATGGGCTTGAGTTGGTTGCAACCCATGCTCTCCTTCCTGGCCATTAGGAACACTTAACCTTGTGATGGTGAGTATATTATAGACACCTGTACCAGGAATCCTGTTGGGATAGGGATTGGGATTGTGCAATGTTCTGAAACTGCTGTATTCATTCAAGTATATCTTACCTCTGTGCTGGGTTTTAATGTACCTTGTATCACTCTACTAAACCAGAATTCCCATGTAGTATCAAGGACTCTCAAGTAAATCTGATATTCAATATTACACCCTCCACACATGGAATATCTAGAAGAACAAACTATCTTGTCAGACTGTTGGACTCCAATGCAAGGCCTTCTCTGTTTCTCATTCAGCCACCCCAGTGAGTAGACAGGGGGTGCACACGAAACTGAGGAGGGACAGTTGACCTCAACAGACAAAGGGATATTCCACACTACAGGGAATACTGGGCAATAAAACTCAGGACCAGGTTTTTTTCAAGTATCCCTTGTACTGTATTTGCAGGGTTCCCAGATGAAGAAAGGAAATGATGAATCTGACTCCATGTTCTTAGAAGGCTAATTTATTATTTTATGATCTATATTATATTAAAGAATACTAAACTAAACTATACTAAAGAATACAGAAAGGATACAGACAGAAGGCTAAAAGCTACTTGTGACTTTCCCTCCAGAACCTGACACAGATTGACCCTGACTGGCCATTAAGTCAAAACAATTCACATGAATCCAATGAAACAATCACCTGTTGGATAAACAATCTCCAACCACATTCCAAAGCAGCAAAACACAGGAGAAGCAAATGAGATAATATTGTTTTCTTTTTTCTATGAGGCTTCTCATCTTCCCAGGAGATAAATCCTGGGTGAAGGGATTTTTCCAGAAAATATGACTGCCACACCCTTGCATAGAGCCTGTCTGAGCATTGGCTTACTGGAGGTGAGTGATTGCTTCTGCACGACCTTTTTAGCCAGACCATCAAGTTTTGGGATGTTAACATTCTATACAACATATTAAAATTGCCAACACATAAGAACAAGAAACTAAAGTAGGGACATCTGCTTTTCACTGGAGCAGAGTGATTATGTATTTTTAAATTCTGATATTCCAAGCAGATGTCACCTTGACAATTTTTTATTTTAAGATTTAAAACAAATAAAATTAAGCATTAAGAAAAATTAATGAAATTAAGATTTAGAGAAAGAAAAATATCCTAAGTCTATAAACATTTATCTAGGAGCTACAATTTAATTTTGGTTAACGAAGAACAGCTACATGGTATCATTTTTCAGTAATGCCACCTAAAACAGAGCAATGTAATCCTGTGTTAAAAGACACCACAAGAAGGTTGATCTACCAAACATCAGCAACAGTGAGCTTCCATCAAAAAGCTGCTAATTTTTTCTCATTGAGAGAACACAATCTGCAAGGAAACAAAAATTATTACTTTTTCTAACCACTTCTGTGATTTCCAAGCTTTCTGCTGCTCTGTTTTCTGCATTTATTTCTCATAATGATTAATATTTTCCTTCCTTCTAGGTACCAAATATTTGGATTCTAATAGCAGAAATACTTGTAACAGAAAAATATTTATAATCTCTAATAAAATCCACCCAAAACATAAAATAAAACAACATTTTAAAGACCTGCTAAATGCTAGTTTTCCATTTGCAGCAAACCAGAGAAGCCTGTAAGAAAGAAGACAATGAACCCTACTTTTCTGGGTGATTATTTATTGACTAGCCTTGATTCTTAACATCAACGCATCCTGTCTTCTGAAAAGATTCAATAAGTAATTTTGGATTATAATGCAGAACTTAGGGGCACCTTATTTCAGCCCAAGTCCCTGTAATGTCTACTCACAAAACATTTAAAATGTTATTCTTTTTAGGTGTCTAATTTAGCACATTTTTTTGATATCAAGAGAACACTACTTTTCATAATCTATGGATCTCTGTCATAACGAAATAATATGATTTTCCTGAAAAATCTGCACTCCTATGGCCCAAAAATCATTGAACTTTTGAAGCCACAGTTGTGGTTGTAGGGTTTTCTTAAAGCATCAACATTATTAAAGTTTATTAAAAATATTATTCAATATAACAACATTGGTTTCAGTAATTTTATTCTAATATTAATGTGACAGCATGATGAAAAGCATTAGTCTGCTTCTGATAATCCCTCACTTTTTTTTTTTTCCCAAACATTACACATCAAATCCCTGATTATCAACAGACATAGCATGAGGAAAACTATTTCTGAAGTGCTTACCAATGAGAAAACCAAAAAGCCATGAAAAAGCCTTTGCTTTAGTTAGTTATCAAAAATATGCTCAAAATATAGGCAAGCTGCATGTCCTGCAAAGAGCTATGACTTGACTGGAATTCTTAAATCCTTCCAAACTTCCCCCTAGCCAAATATATTCCAGTTTTACAGGTCTGCTCATGTAGAACATCTTCCTGATACGTCTTGACAGTACATTTCTGCCAGTCATAAGAAGCAATTCAGCTGGATCATCTCCCAGACATGATATAAGTCTACATCCCACAGTTCCAGTCATTAGCATTCATTAAATAGTCATTAAACAGTCATTAAACAGACATTCAGAGATGTTTTTTAAGCTAACATTAAAAGAGCAACCTGCTAAGTAACATTAACTCAAAAAAAGATGATAATCTAGAAGAATATTTATTTTCAGTTCTGAATCATCCTCCTCCAGTATGAAGAAGTCCAGCACAGCTTCTCATACAAAATCTAATTTAACAGAATATTCAGCATCTTCCAGACCATGAACAATTTGTTTCCGCAACTTTACAGGCAATGCCCCAATACCGAATCTGTTCAATTCCACATGCACCTGAAGAACTTTATCACTAACACATGCATTTTTAAGGAGGGCAGGAAGAAAACTGCTTTCTAAAAACTGCATTGACAAGGTAGTTTGGCACAAAAGCACTCATTTAATGAAACTATTATGAGCATTCATTTTACTTTTCCTTGGTTTTTAGATTAGGTATTAGGAAAAAATTCTTCCCTGTGAGAGAGGTGAGGCCCTAGCACAGTGCCCAGAAAAGCTGTGGCTGCCTCATTCCTAGATGTGTTCGAGGCTAAGCTAGACGGTGCCTGGAGCAACCTCATCTAGTGGAAGCTGTCCTTGCCAATGGCAGGGGATTGGAACCAGATGGTCTTTAAGGTCCCTTCCAAGCCAAACCATTCCATGATTCTAGAAGTCCCTTATGCAGATTATTTGCATTGTACTAACCCATACCACAGGTTTCCTCCTCTGAGGTCCTTGAGCCCAGCCCCCAACTGAGTACACCCATAGCTGTGCACTATTACCGTAAGGTATTCCAAGGCGCTCCTGCTCCTTCCGGTAGCCTTCCAGTGCTGCAGCCCATCGTGTCACTTGCTCAGACGTTTCATCTGAAATTGTTGCAATATGTTTTGTTCCATCCAAGGTTATCACTTGAGCTTCCTCAACAAGGTGAGCTTCAGCCTCTGCATGATGAGCATCTGGATCAATCACAACCTCCACGGTCTCCACAGGCTTCACAATTTCCAGGATGTTCAACTTGGGCTCCATCCCTAAGCATGGAAACATCACAAAACTTAAAGACAGTAATGCAAATATGACAAAAACGTTGTTTTAAAGCTTTCTGATTAGTAGGGCTACCAAACTCAGGAAAAAAGCAGGACACAGGAGTGTCATCAAATTTCTGTGAGTGTACTAAATTAAAATGACATACTCTATTATAGAGCATGTACTTTAGTAAGGTGAATAATAAAGCTGTCCCTCCTTCTTCCCTCAGTATTACAGCTTCCTGTTTTATTTAAGTGATCTATTTCACAGATCTTGAACAGAATGGTCAGCATGTGAGCATAAAATACAGTATTTTGGTCTGTAAGAAATACACCATACAAAAAACCCCAAAACAAATAGAAAAAGCAACCTCCAAAACGACCCAGAACAAATATCCAGCTTTACTCCAACCATAAGGCATTTCTTTCAGCTTTTACAATACTTCCCTGATTATCTCTGGGGTCTACACAAAGCAGTTAATATTTTCTTTCAGTACTCTGAAGCAGGCAGTGTGTTAAACAGCAAGTTAAAATAAACCTAGAAAATTCTTCTCATCTTACGCTTCATCAGCTATTAATGTTTTGGCTTTTTGTCTGTCATTTCAGGTATTAGATCATGGAGCTAACAAGATATGTCTGCATCTATTCTGTAGCAAGAAAGAATACATTCACTAATGCTTTCTATTACCACCTTCTCTGCTGTCTTCTGAGGTGTTTTGTCCAGCTAGTGCCTCATCAATTTTCATACACTGTACTGAAGATTTTTTCAAAATTATTTAAATTTTTGTAACATACAATTTTCATTATAATGCCAACAACCATGCTTATTTTAATGATTTTTATCAACCATATTTTCACATAAAAAAAGAATCCTTACAATTCTATTTTATCATGAGTTGGAAAACCTTGACTATGGTTAGGCTGATGAAAGTCAGATTCACAGAACATCATATGGCCAGAGTAACTTCAGTATCTTGTACCATAAAGATATTACTTTGTGTCCTTCCTGTCTAATCTATATTAAAGCACAACATGAGATGGTTCTGCAGGTAACAATTTTAAATGCTAAATCCACAATCAAGTCATACTTTGTAAGGGAAAACAAATGGAGTATGTACCTGTACGACAATTAAGAAAAAACAAGTCTTTTCCAGACAAGTATTCCTCTAGATTTTAACAGGCATTCAGCTTGAAAAAAATATTAAAAAGGCAACAAACATTATAAAGACCCTAGAGTACAAAACTCAGCAATGTGAAATCAAGGACGTGAAAACAGATGTTGACAACCAGTAAGCGGTTGACTAGATGAAGAAGCAAATATGAAGAAAAAGGAAATACCTTACTTAGGAGAGTGTTTTATCTAGGCCATGAAAAATTAATATGCACAACACAGGCTTCTTTCAAAATCATACAAAATGGGTAAGGGAAGCTACTAAGGGTTAAGATTCTATTTTTGATCCTCAAAAAAGAACGTAAAGAAAAAAGAGGTACAGTTCATTATTGCTCAACAAAATAATTCACTATGTGTCACAAAACGACGTTGAAAGAACTTCGTTCTTCATCCACAATACAAACATGGAGATCAAAGCAATGAGTCTCTGTACAGGAAACACCTTGTAAGTAAAAATGTGAATTAACAATCTGCCATCTAACTTATTGCAACACTAGAACAACATTAATTCCCTGGGTTTGCCTGCATCTCTCCTCACATCTCTTCTCCCTTTACCTATTGTATACGAGATGACCAGTTCCAGATTCCCATTACTTCAACCAGAGGAAATGAGTTAGGGCAAGGCAGAGTGCTGTAAGAGTCTTATAAGCAAAATGAAAAAATAGGAATGCTATTTTATCTGCTGTAGAATGAAATGCTAGAAAAGAACTACACTCAAGTTTAACTACAGAAGAAGAACTATGTTTCACCTGTTGTCTTTGAATTTAAAGCCATCTCATCAAAATTTGGTAGAACATTTGAACTGACATAGCAGCTTTTCTTTCAAGAAATGAAAGAGTCCAATCCACCACAAGGATTAGCATCACTGATTACCCTTAGTTGAATTCTTACATTACATAAGTGAGGAGAAAATAAACGTAAGTGAACTGAGAGTTTCTCAAAACCTCATTCATGCAGTAAAATATGAGGATGGAGTAAGAAACCGTTTTTTCCCATCTGGCTCAAAGGGATACTGTGGTCAAGAGTAACAAGTCCATTTTCCTGTTAGTGATTCAAGCATCTTCATTTTGTTTATATGCATGCTATTTGTTTTCTGATATTCTGCCCTGCCATATTTTACATGCCTTCAACAACAGGTATCTTAGGAGCTGCTAAAGTCTGAAGGTCTGAAAAACAACACTGAGGAAGTTTTCCAAAGTGACACAGAAGTACTTAATATTCAAATGTTTCTTTTAAGATGGGAGACAGGGATGGGGGGAGGGAGGGAGAGAGAGAGTCAAGATGTGATGGGGGCATGGAGCAAGGAGTTCCTTGAGTTATGTGATCATGAACCTCAGTTTAAATTAAAGGGAAAAAACGAAACACGGAAGAACATTGTGGCGGTTTCAGCTCAAAACCGGGTGGAAACACCAACTTCACGTAGTGGTTTTGGTTCGCCAATTTTGAAATTCCCCAGGTGGCGCACCGAGGAGTGTGGTGCGTTCAGCACTGGCCAACCACCAATGCGCTCACTTCCTGCTGTGAAGTAGGATTAGGAGAAGGGCAAAGCAGGCTCAAAACTTTAAAAGGGTATAATGAAAAATTTATTAACAATAACTAAAATAAAGAATAGTAAGAATCAGAACAAAACCTTCAGAACACTTCTCCTCCCCCACAACCTTTTCTTTTCCACTGGCAACGTGAAGAAACAAAGCTTAAAATTTCAGTCAGTTTACCACCTCCAGAATAGTCTTTCTTCAGTTCACTTAGGGAGAGAAGTCTCTCTTGTTAATGTTATGGAGACTTCTCCACGAAGGAAAAAAAGCCAGTTCTCTCATGGCTCTCAATTTGTCATGAATAGCAGCCACCCAGGGAAATCTGCAATTTTGAAGTCCCTCCCATTTTCCACAAGCTTTTCCCACAGCTGTGGGCCATGTCAACTTATGAGGTATTGTTTTAAAGATCAGCTGTTCAAAGGCAAAAGTCCTCATTATCTGTCTCTAAAATCATCTTTATCTCTGAGAACAGAGATCTTCTCCTGGGGGTACAGGACCACTCTTCTCTCCTCTGTTCTAACTTCTCAAAGGATCACAGCTACTTTAATATCTGCTTACTTTAGCACGGAAGCCTTTGCTCGATATCAAATTGCACCCTTCATCTCCCCATGGTTTTCATGTGTTACAGGGAAACACAGTCTTTTCTCTACAGCCTTACAAAAGTATTTCAGCTCCAAGACCAAGGCATCTCCTCATCCCTCCCATCTGGGACTTGACTTCTTCTTCGCTGACCTTGGTGTCTTCATGTCACTCCTTTACATACTTGCATCTTGTTCCTTTCTCTCTCTCTCAAGGGACGACTGAAGCACTGAAAGAGTTAACATCTTGCCCAGGGCCTGCAGATGGTCACTGGTGCTAGAGGCGGGAACTTCCGGCTGGGGCTATGTCAGGATCAGCTGCATGGCTGGTCTTTGGTTTTCTCTGCATTCAATTCCAGCCACAGGGCCCCTCTGCACAGGTTGCAGGGCTGCCCCTGGTCTCAGACGCTTGATCTTGTGCAGTGGCCGCGCTGTGGGGAGGGGACCTGGTGGTGAGATCTTAACAGCCATGGCCCAGCCCTGCTTCAGCCAGGGCTCCGCAGCCTTCCCTGTCTGGCAGCTGCTGGGGCCCAGCCCAGGCAGGATGGGGCTTGGTGAGCCCCCCAGACCCCCAGAGAGGGGCCTGGCCCTATGCAGAGCCTGCCCGGCCCAGCCCATGGCACTCCCTGCCCTGCCTGGCAGCCAATGGCAGGGGGCCAGCAGGTGCTTCAAGGGGAAGGGGCCCAGCCCTGTGGGCAGGACCGCCTGGCCCTGGCCTGGCTGAGTCAGGGGGCCAGGGCATATTACCTCTTTGCAGACCAGAAGAGAAAGAGGAAGTTCCTGCACTTCTTTGCTCTTTAACATGTGTTTTTCACAGAGTAACGTCCAGCTTTCCAGTGGCTGGAAGCTTTGTATCATTTCTCTAAATGTCTCCCATGCAAAACCATGACAAATATGAAGATGATAGTAAAGATATTCATCACTCACATCCTTTTGAAAATGCAAGTCTGAGCACTGAATACTAGAAGTTACTGGGCATGACCTAAGAGCACTTATTCTAGTTCTCTGAAGGATATTTCCATTCTATTTTATAAGTAGAAAGGTAGTATACTTCCCATTACCTATGGGGAACTGAGGACTCAACCTAGCACTACTCACCTGACACTCAGCATTAAATGCAAACTGTGTCTTACTGAAGACTATTAATACAAAGCAATACAAAGACTATTAATACAAAGCAGAAAAGTTTTCTTCTGTTTAATCTACAACGAAGCCAAAGAGTGCACTCCAAATGTTGCTCATTTGCTTTGCTAATGTAACTCAAAACAGATAACTAATCTATGCCTGTATGAACTTGCCCTGTTTAAAAATACAGAAATAAACACCTGTAGATGTTCCCACGGCCCAATATGTACATTGTCTATAAAGAGTGGTGGCTGTCCGGCTGTCCTTCCATTCAAGACATATGGAGGGGGCAAAGCAGAAAACTAGGTTAAAAAGTAAAACAATGAAGCTGCTAGTTCCTGAGTATTTGACAAGGGGAAATCCTGCCACATCAGATAATACTCAGCCTTGAGGAAAACCTCATACTGTAACTGATACTACTTGACTAAAAGTTGTTTGGGTTCTGAATTTGTGTTTAATTTTGTTACTTATAAAAAACATTATGAAATTCCTTTAAAAAACATTTCAAATAGCATCAGTGCATGACATTTATTTTAATTTTACTTCTTAGAACTACAGTACACAATGAAAAAGACAATCTGAAGCTCTGTGACCATTCATTGATTTTCTCAATTTTACAGCCAGGAATAGGAGATTAGGTTTGCTCACAAGTATTTGTGCAATATTAGTTTGTCTGTACAACAGACAAATGTAACTGCTTACCTTGCCTAGATATTACTTGTACACTGAGTTGCACTGTTCCATCTGTTTTCACTCCTTGATCAAAAAGGCTTCGATCTGGGTCCAGCTTGATAAAAGCATTAAAAATTAAAAAAATTAAAATACGTATTAGTCTCACAGAGACAATAAACTAACTTTCCTTTAAATTTTAGAAACACTGGGTGCCTGCAGCAAATTTTCTGAATAAGCATGCAAATATTTTTAGTACTGTCTAGATATAGTACATAACAGAAAAAATTTGATCGTATTTGAAACTTGCCACTCTGTTCTGTTTAAGATATTTCTGCCTACAGGAACATTTTTTGACCTAAAAGAAGTAATGCAATAGGAGGAGGTACCTTCACTACCTGAAAACTATCTACAGTTCCTTCTCTGAGTTTTTAACACCATCATAAAAATTCTTATCTTTATAACAATATTCTCCTGTTGTTTCTGGAAAAGCCACAGATGTCTGATTGTAGCTTCAAATAAAACACAAAACAGTTACACTGTCTAACGTGTGCCAATGCCTGTAAAAATCTTGGGGGGGGGGGGGGGGGGTTTATCTTGAGTAATGCTTTGCTATCTCTATACCTCAATAATATAGAAACCTTCTCACTTAGATTAACAACAAGATTAGAATTATGGAAGTTCTGGCAGCAACAAATTATGTGGGCTACCTCAAGAGAAAGTAGTATGGTCATCACCCTCATTCTTCTTTCACTTGCAAGGTGGTTTCTTAACCGCACACCAGGAACTCCCAGAATGTTTTGATTGTATTCACACTGAATTAGTGTGCATATATTAAATGGCCTGATGATAATGAACCTGACATGAAATTAAACACTTAATTGTAGCTAATATTCCACATGAAACGAATTCCACAGACAATGGAAAAAAGGGAAAAAGTATGTAAAACACTTCTCCATTACGAAGCTAAATGTTTCATAACCTTTCAATTTACCTGGATATCTTGCAGACAAATCTCATGTGCATCCAAGGAACACTGCAGTCTGGGTTCCAGCAACTTCTTAAGGTTTCCAATGGGTTCACTGATGTCAATAGCCTGACTAACAAATTCTGCGGTGGTGTAACTTTGCTCGACAATGCTTAAATAGCAAATTAATACAATAAATCATTACTCACATGTTAATAGAGCAGATATAGGAAAACTTAATAAAAGTTGGAAGTAAACTAAATAAAAAATAATACTGACTCTCAAATCTTGATATACTTAATAATACTTAATAATAATTGCATGTAGAGTAAATTAATTTTATTTGCTTTGACTGGACTGAATTTAAAATATATTCAAGTTAAAAGCAAGCACAGAAACACAGGGAAAATAGAAGGAAAAAAATGCTCATACATAGCAACTTTCCATGTCTTTTCACCCGTCAGTACAAGAATAATAAGCTTAACACATAAAAGGGACAATCAGAAGGCAGTACAGCAACATGGAGCCTTGAAGGAACTATGAGCCACATGACATGGTTGTCCCACACTACAACACTGACAGTATTGGCACAGGCATTCGGAAATGTCATTGTTATGGGACACATTACAACAACGACCTTATGCACTCTCTTCATATACACAGAAAGAAATCAGAATGTACACAGTCTGTAAGTGGTAGAAATACACAAGGAACTTAGAACAGTAAGAAACTAGTAAGTGGCTTTGAATCAGTTGTCCAGAATAGGCTCTTAAAGTGTAGTTAACCTAACCAGCCTCAGTTCTTTCTGCCTGTTGGAGACTGAAATGTTATGGTATATGCCTTAAACATCTTTATGAAGGACTTTTGCCTATTATAGCAAAAGTAGGTAAAAAGAACTGCACCCTGAATGGGCCTCCTGACTTGAGGCCCTCAACTGCAAGTTAATAGACATAAGCTAAAGTGACCTAAGTCTGGGCTGGGGGAAAAGAATACATTCACAAGAGTGTGATAAAAGTTAAAAGCTTCTAAACTTCTAAAAATTTTAAAAAGTTTATTAAAACCTTATAAAAAATACAACAGAAGACTGAATAGAGAAAATAGTGCAGCGCCAGGAGCAAAGGATTTTTCCTACCACATGCTCATCTACACAATGGATGTTTTGCCTTTTAACCCTTTAGCTCCTCCCAAAGGTCTGTCCATCGACTCCTTTTTCACTGTCCAGTGGTGGAGTTCACTTCTTTACATCTTGATTGGAAGTCGAGTGCCGCCACAGTAACAAGCCAACCTGCCCAAATGTCCTGACTACTCAGGTCACCCCGTGACAACAATGCAAGGGGGAGGTAAAACATAACTATAAAACTTCTCTTAACATACACATAATATTTGTCTTTTAATTGTGACAGTCAACCATCGCATTACTTATTTATCACAAAAGGATTAAGCCCAGCTACCTTTGGGGTGGAGGCCACAGCCCCAGGTTTTTCTGCTGCCAAGCTCCCACAGATCCCTACACAAAAGCAGGGAGGGAGGAAAGGGTTTGGGTGGGTGGCATGGCCTCTGGCCAGATGCAGTGAACATCCATCCTCCACTGGGCAGACTGGCCCAGCTGTGGGGCCTTCCATCCCTGGAAGGCCACATCTGTGTGAGGGACAGCCATGTCAGGGACAACTGAGGGGGGGTCCTGGCTCAACAAAAGCCCCCCACCAAAGGGGTCCCCAGAGCCTGCACTGCACGTGATGCAACAGATCTGCAGTCTTGCAAGGGACAGTGTCAAACTTGCCCCACTGCCGGTAGGTTCCTGTGTGTTCCCACCTGCCCAAATGTATATTAATCCATTAGATTCTATACTTTTCAGCAGGGACCCTCACTGGTAAGAAGACCAGATGGAGGGAAGCAGTGAGACGTCACTGGGGACCTTGGAAGGGCTGATATGTTTCTACTTAATCTCTGCCACTCTCCCTGACACCGCCTCCCACCTCTATTTCTTTTTTTCTTTCTTTCTCCTTACCTCTTTTAGTATTAAACAAAATATATAATATTTTTTTTGTATCAACATCTAACCTCATTTGGTTTTAATCAAGTTTTGGGTTATATTTCATACTTTTCTGTGTTCGATCTGTTTTATTCACAGAGAATTAGTTTTCTTTGCTCTTCTGTGCTTAGACCGGATTGCAGCACTATCCTACACATTAACTGATGCTCTGAGCTTCCAAACACAGTAGTGAAAATTAGAATGGACGCATTTGAAACTAAAAATCCAGGCTGAAGTAATTAAATCAGAGAGCATCCTACTTCAGAATGTATGGTTTCAATGGCCCTAACAATAGTATAGTTGATAGCAAGCATCGTTTCTGCTCTGTTTAAAACAAATCATCCTGTACAAATCCTGTATAACAGTAAAGCAAAGGACTGGATATATAGAAAGGTCCATCTCAATTACAGAGGGATCCACTGAAGCTGAAATGTTTGCAGCACACACACAGACATACTACTGCAGACATGAAAATAGGAAAAGTAAAATACCAATAACATAGCAAGAGATAACCGAAACAGTTTGGGATTTAGATAATTAAAGTTGAGGAACATGGCAACACTATACTGCTTTCCTATACATCTCAACTTCTGGAAAACAGCCATTTAATTAGACAGGAAACAAAAAACCAAATGAGTCAATTAATTGCTGCCTAAGGATCCCAGAAAGCAAAGACAGTACATTACATACCTTTCTTCAGTGCATTCCTGTTTCTCAGTTCCATCAATCTCAATTTCTATCAGCTCCTCTGCCTCTCTCTTAGTCATGGCTGCAATGTCTTAAGAACAGAGCTATGAACAGAAAACAATTTTTTGTGTACGTCACAGACCAACAAGACTAGACAATATTTTGTGTCCTATCACACATTTTTTAAATCAAATACCAGAATAGTCTTTTAAAGACAAAAATAAATCCAAAAGCGAATAGATATTTCACAAAATATATTACTAGACCTGTTTTCAAATAAATGTTCTAGAAGCAAACATGGGACTATTAAGACATTTGCACAGAGCCCAAAGCCTGATTCTCTTGGAGGCACCCAAATTTATGGATTTTTTTTGTTGTTGCTACAGGCCACCTACAGCAAAGCACATCTTAAAATCCAAACTACCTTCCTAGCATGGCTGAAAGATGCTTATAAATTTAAGCAGCATTTTACATTAAATGCTGCAGGAGGCAATTAGGGAGAAGATGCATGACTTCTTCATAGGCAAATAAAGTCAACAACAAAGTGTTGATTAATCTCATCTTTCCACCCATGTCTCCCATAGGTGAACAGTTGATGGCATGAGCACAATTAATGTATCTTGCGAAGTCCCATACTAAAGCAGGATGTTAGTAATTAAATGAAAAGCTATTCTGTGATGACGTTCTCACTAACACTACAGATTTTCATGCCCGGTAGAACACTGGAATCTGTTGGGAACATAAGTGGGAAACTAAGAATTACAGCACTTGGTCTGTAAAGACATAGTTAGTCTGGTATTGCTGTTTTCCACTAACCAGCACATATACCATAACTATGAAATATGTATGATAAAAAGCAGGCCAAATTATATTAGCAGTTTACAATAAATAACATCATGAATTCACAGCAAAAGAAGTAGGAAGTAGAAGTACAGAGGAACAAAAAAAAAAAAAAAAACCCAAAAAAACAAACCACAAAAAAAAAAAAACAAAAAAAACCAAAACAAAAAAACAAAAAACCAAAACAAAAAACAAAACAAAAAAAAAAAAAAAAAAAAACCAAAACAAAAAAAAAAAAAAAACCCAACAAAACAAACCACAAAAAAAAAAAAAAAAAAAAAACCAAAAAAAAAAAAAAAAAAACCAAAAAAAAAAACAAAACAAAAAAAAACACAAAACCAACAACAACAAAAACCTCTGGAAAAAAAGCAAAACATTACTACTATTTAAATATCCAAAACAGAAGAGGTCACCAAGGTTTCCATCCTGGAATCACCCTTTCCCAGGTACTACTCTATCCCGAACCCAACTGTTAGCAAGAGTATCTTCTGATGACAAGATAATAAAGATATGCATTAATCTTTAAAACTTCTCAGAAGCCATAGTACCAACTATGTTTTACAGCTGCTATGTAAACTGTCTAAAGAAATTCAAAGTACTCATCATCTCCTTCAAAAACTATTTCGTAAGATCAGCTGCCAAGAAATCAAGTGCTCCATGTGGTTCATTCTGTAAGAAACTACCAAGGTTAGGAAGTAAAAAACCACCTTATCAACATCTCACCACTAGAAGCAAACCCAGAACCTGTTGGCAGGTCTGGCTCTGTGAAAATCTCCAAAGGGCCAGTGTAGTGTCCATTGAATAGGGCCCCAGGAATCCAATTCCAGTATCACTTAATCTTGTGTGTTATTCTCATGATAAATGGGACAGACTGAAACACAGCTTCTGAAGAATACAGACAGGCTTAAGTATCTGAATGCCCTGACACCCACATGGTTACAGGTGATCTGTCAGACTGTTAAAAAATATTTCAAACGCAAGATTTGGGCAATGTCTCTTACTGAAAACTCCCAAAGAAGCAAACTGATTTGATAAAAAAGAGGTGAATGTCTTTTCTGTATCAGCAATCAATAAAAACACAAAACAAAGGTAAATTGTCTTTTTTGTGATGAAGAGAGAGTTTACCAGTAAGGTCACAATGGGGTTAGGCTGGGATTTCTGTTTTTTGACATACTCATATGTTATTTACTGAGAAAATAGTGCAAACTTACAGAAAGAACTCACCACCTTGATAGTTTTCAGGCACAAATTATTCAATATGGCTAAATGCAGAGTGAGAAAATATTACTGCCCACAGTAGCAGTACAGAATTAGTTAAGGCATTTAGAAGTCCCTATGAATTGGACTCCAAACTGGCAGCTGGGACTAGTAACTGTTCACTCCTTCTTCAAAGGCAGTTCATGGTTGAATCTCTCAGGCTTTGCTGTATTTCGGGATCCCTGGAGGGGCAGGAAAGAGCAACCCAGGCACAAAAAGCAGGTGCACAAAGAGGAAGAAAGATGGTCCCGCTGAGCACAGATACAAAGAAGGGAGATGGGTATAAAGAATAACAACATAATGTAAACACATAAACTCATTAAAGTTCATAGAAGCCTAAAGGGGAAAATTACTCAGCCTTCCCTATACTAGCATAAAGAGATTTCTTACAATATAAACATTTCACATGAAGTCTAGCAGTTTGTTCCTACAGGATGATGCAGTTTGAAAGTGAATACAGGTTCAGATGGGACTGAACTGCCTGCCTGCCCCTTCCCTGAAGGCTACTGAGAGACAAGAAGGCTCAAGGAGCCTGGCTTGCCTGGAGGCTTCATGTGGCAGGAACACTTCAACAGCAGCATTGGTTCAAAGCAACATAAAACCTGTGGTTGATTCCTGGAAGATTCAGCCTACTGATTTCTGCTTGTTTGTACTTTTCCCTTCAACCTAACAAGACCTAAGACTTACCTGTTAGCCAAGAAGAAAGCTGACCCCCCACTAACATACAAGAAGGCATCTGTCAACAGAGCCTTTTTCCCATATGACAGCCCAGTGCTACTCTGGTATCTTTTACAGTAAGAAGAGTAGTCCCCCTGCTCTAAGATCTATCTTTTCCCCAGAACACAAGGAGTTAAGCAAGGAATGAGCCCACTGTGAAATGGGCACAATCTCTATGAGTAGAATTGTTTGCTATTCCACCAGGTAATTGTGAGATGGGGTCCAGTTCTGGAGCTCCTACACATAATCAGCTGATACTGAAGCCCAGTCACTGGAGTTATTTGTGCCCCAGAGAAGCTCTGGTGTGTGCAGCACATGGTTCCTACCCATCCATATTATGCAAATTATAGATACCAACACAAAGCAGCTAACAAAGCAGATAGCCTGTTCTTTACAGATCAGCTTTTACAACTCATGAGCCAGTTCAGTTTTATGATGGAGACAGAGGAGCACTGAATAGGGTAGGGGAAAATCACACCAGATTTGATGTGTTTAACTTCCCTATCAACAGCCTGAAGTGAGAAAATAAAGCCAAACTGGGAGCTGTGGCTGTGCACCACATACCTGGCCAAACATTAGGAAGCAAACTACGCAAGACCATGGGATCAATTAGCTTGGAAAAGACCTTCAAAATCATCATGACTGAACACCATGTCAACTAGACCATGCCACGAAGAGCCACATCCAGTCTTTAACACCTCCAGGGATTGTGATTCCACCACCTCCCTGGGCTGCCTGTTCCAATGTCTAATCACCCCTTCAGTGAAGAAATTCCTCTTACTGTCCAACCTAAACTTCCCCTGGCACAGCTTAAGACTCTTTATTTATTACTGGTTAGCGGAGGAGCAGAGCCCGACCCCCACCTGGCTGCAATCTCCTCTCTGGGAATTGTGAACAGAGGATCCTTCCCAGGCCTCCTTTTCCCTGAGGTGAGTCCCCCCAGCTCCTCCTCACCAGCCTTCCGCTCCAGACCCTCTCCCAACTCCGCTGCCTTTCGACTCGCCCCAGCCCCTCTAATGTCCTTCTCGGAAAGAGCGGCGCAGAACTGCACACATCACTCGAGGGGCTCCTCACCACTGCAAGAGGAGAGCCCCAAGACGTCACACATCCTGTTACGTTTCCAGCCAGAACAAGGTTTTTACGCGCGGGGATGACTTTTCACGGGCCGGGGAGGCCTCGCGAGCCCCGCGGCGGGAGCACTCCATTCCCGATCCCAGGGGCCCTGCCCCACCACCGCCAAGGCGCCACCTCCCCGCGGGCCCCGCTTCCCGCGGCGCCTCCATGTCGTTGTTTGAACCCGAAACGGAAATGGGACCGCGGAGCCGCCGGGCGAGAAACGGAAACAAAACACGGGCCGGGCCGGGCCAGGCCGGGCCGCGCTGCGCTCACCCGCCGCCGCCACCGTCCGTGCGTCCGCTCGCCCGCCGCACCGACACGTCCCGCCGTCCGTCCGCGCCCAGGAACTCCCCCAGCTCCGGGTCCAGGAGCGGGCTGCGCCAAAGTCGGGGCGGCGCGCAGGCCCAGCGCGGGGAAGCGCGCGATACCGCCGCGCCCCCGCACGAACTACGACTCCCGGCGGCTCCCGCGGCTCCGGAAGGCCCTGAGCCTCTTTCCCTCACTTGGGAGCGGCGCTGTGCGGCTACGGTGCGTGCTGGGCTCTTCCCGGGGCTCTTCCCGCGCTGCCGCCGGACCCGGCGGGCGCTAAGCGGGGCCAGGCTGTGTGTGCGGATGGGGGAGCCGCGGGGGGTGAGGGGTGGTGGTTCCCGGCGCGCACTGCGAGGGCGGCGGGGCAGAGCGGAGGCAGTGGTTCGGTCAAGGTGACTCTGGGGTTGAAGCTGTCACCTTTTTTCTTGCTTAAACAACGCGGAGAGCGGAATTCACGGTTTGTCTGGGTTGTTGTGGCGCGGTTCCGTAGCGAACGGGCCGCGGAGCTGCAGCCGTGGGATCACGGTGCCCTCGCACTCGGTGTTTGCTGGAATTTCCCCTCCCCCCCACGCTGTTTTAAATAACCTTTGAATACCTCTCTGCTTTAAAGTTCAGCTCCAGAGTACATTTTTCTTTCTTTTTATGTATTTATCTTAATATCTTAAAGGAAATAGCTTTTAAATACTTTTCTGATTTCAGCTCCAAGCTATTTTTTCCTGCTTTTTAAATGCATTTATTATATCGCTGTGACTAATCCTTTATTCCTGCTTTCGTGTTTTGTTAGTGATTAAAGTAGTAGTGCCATCATGATCCTGCGACAGATCTTGCGGCTTTCCTCCCTTTTCCACTCTGCTGTGTCCATTCACCTGCGCAGGAACATTGGGCTCTCTGCGATTGTCTTCAACAAGGCAAAAGAACTCGACCCGGTCCAGAAGCTCTTCTTGGACAAGATCAGAGAGTACAACACCAAGAGCAAGTAAGTAAAGGAAATTGTCTTAAGGTGGGGGCTAATGGCAAAAGGGGAAAATATGTTGATTTTGACATAAAAACATCAAATCTGAAGTGTTTGATTTTTCACAGTTTGATACTTCTCTAGGCTGGTCTGTAAATATTTATGGTGTGTTTTGTTGCAACACTTATGGTTTTCACTAGTGGGAAAGGTTGTTCTTGCATATCTAATATAAAATACCAATTTTTTTCCCTTAAAAAAGAAAAAAATCTGATGCCGTTCTTCTTGGGCAGTTAAGCCACACAGTTAAGGTCTCTTGCACGTTGCATGAATGTACTGGTATGTTAATTTTTACCTTTTTACCTATCTACACGCTTTATAAATAGGGGGAAAAAGGTAAACAAATTTTTTTTTTTTTTTTGGCTGGGGAGAACAGTTATTCTGTAGTCTTGTTTCCAGAAGCTGAATGGAAATAGCCTCCAAAACCAATTGAGAATTAATGGAATTATCAGGATGGTCCATTTAACATCTTAAGTTAATAAGCAGTTCCTTCAAATGGAATCTTAGATTATTGTAATGTTTGAATGAACTGCTGGCCAGGAAACGAAAACCATAGTAAACCTGTGTAATTTATTCTTGGGAAGTATTCCTGGGAAGGAATTAAGATGCTTCTTAGCTCTACTGGTAGAAGATGTGTCTATCCCTACCTGCAAACCCATCTGTGTAGGGAGGTAGATATTTGGTGGTTTTACCAATTGTAAGCATGGATCATGTGCTGGTACAACTGAGTGCTGGCAATCTGAAGAGTTACTATTTTAGTTATCTGATGCTTGAATCCCAAGAAGCTCCTGTTGTGGAGGGGATTTTTGCTTCTTTAGCATTCAAAATGCATTCTCTTGGCAAGAACAGTTAAGCTTTACTAACTGAGATAACTAGTTCAGAGACGGAAGAGGTGCAAATCACAGTTTTGTTAGGAATTCACACCTGGAACAAACAAAACTAAAAGACTCGGTCAGTGGTTTTGCCTCAGGAGACCACGTTTTGTCTCAAAAGGCTTGGATTTTCATCCCTGGTAGTTGGATTTTCATCACTGACAGCAGAAAACCTTCACCCTTAGAATCTTGTTTGTATGTAAGGTAAGGAGGTCCTAAGGTGTCATATCCTGAGTTTTGGAAATATTTTAAATTATTTCCTTTGGCTGGCTGTTAGAAAGGTTTTAATTTATAAATGGGCTTGAAAACGTAGAATTTTCCATGTGAATATTAGAACTGAGTTGTTAATTACAACTTTTAATGTTTGTTAGGCAAGCTGGAGGGCCTGTTGATGCAGGACCTGAGTTTCAAAAAGATATGAATGAATCCCTTGCGAGACTTCAACGCGCGTATGGTGAGGGAGATCTCACCAAGTTTCCGGAATTTAAATTTGAGGGTGAGTTAACAATCTTACTGAACTCTAATTGCAAGTAGAGACATGTTCACTCACAGGTTTCTTAAATTCCGCTTTTGTTTATATTTGTACCATTAATTTTGTGTAAAATGCCCTCTTGGAATCTTATGCTTTTGCACAGTTCACATCGGTTTCCATGTGACTCCTATTTTGATTATTTGCCTTTTCTAGCAGAGGCGTGGCCTTCATTATACTAATGATTAACAAAACTTACAGTCAGATCAGGCTATCTTAATTGTCCTTCAGACACCTAAAGAAAGAGCTCAAATAGAAATAGCCTAAGTTCTGTATTTTTCTCATCTTGCCAAAAAGATCAGCAGACTATAAGTTAGTCTTAGCATCATCCAAACTGTGACTTTTTTTGATTTTGTAAGCTCCTCTGGAAAGCCACTGATTTCAGAAAATGAACATAGGACTTAACTTCCTTACTATTATTTTTGGCTAAATTATATTTTTTCTTCAGCTATTTGGATATGACTTCTGTTTAACTGCTCTAAGTTTGTTTTAGTGTGGAAGGGAAAGGGCAGATAGCATAATGCTTGGTGGGTATCTGGCAGCCAGCCAAGGCCAAGCAACCATAGTCAGTAAATTGTAGTTCTGATCAGACTGTCTGAGAATTCTTATTTAAACCTGAAAATGTTTTGGGTTTTGGTGGTATTTCAGTTGGGTAAAATTGGTGTCAGGTGCAGAATACCTGTAAAGTAGGATCTATGGTTTTTCTGTTTTATTTTTACACAATTTTAAGGATGTAGTTTCTCTACATTCAGTTTTATTTCTGTGTCATATGTGAAACTATGCATATTAAAATTTTACTTGTTTTTGTAAGGAAAAAGAATTTGTGGACCATAGGGACAGAGCATAGCACAGACACAACATTACTTTTTTCTTTTGCCACTGTTGCCTATCCTTGATCTAATCTCAATTAGGTTTCAAATTGTAATTATATGAGTAGGAACATCAATTTTTTTACCTTAGGGATGCTCACTATAAGCTGACCCTTGCCTCTCAGACTTCATATTAACAACAGCAGGCATTAGCAGCCCAAGTGCCCAAAGCCCTAACCTTTGTGAGCCTGTACCTTTGACATCAGGAACTCCTTGGTCAGTGCATGTGGAGAATATCTTGCTGAGTTGAGTTGAAGTTGTGTGCTCCTCTCTGTTAATATACACTGATGATAACTAATGAAAGGGAGAGAAGAGAGATTACTTGTTATTAGAGCTATGTTGGAAATACTCATCCAGTAACATTCTGGTTGACTTCTTCAGTTTCTCTGCTGTCTTCTCCCCTATCCCAGGTGTCACTAAAAGCTGTTTAGGCAGAATATTACTGGGGCTTAGCCTTTATACATAACTCCTGCAGAGTGAAAAAGACCTGTCCCCAGCCTAGTTACTGTTTACTGATGCTCACATTTAATCAGTCAGTGGGGGTGTAGACTGCAATGTACCGCTTTAGCTTGCCCATGTAATGGTTAGTTTTCTTTGAATTACAAATTAATTGTGGTGTTTGAAGATGTTAAAAAAAGAGACTAATAAGAATTTTCTCTCTCCCATTCCTCCTGTAGAGCCCAAGTTTGAGGAGACTCCAAAGTGATTCGGCAGCTTTTACACCAAACAGCAATGTACAGCCATGGAGTTGCTGAACATGGCACCAGTTGTAATTTAATAAATGTAATGCTTCAGTTTGATTTCAGTGGTGTGAAGAAGCTCTTAACTGCATGGTGAGTGTAGCTGGCTGTCATCATCAACTCCTACATGACAGAGGCAGCTGAGTAGCGCTGCTCAGTGTTAACTGCAAAATATCTTTGTGTGCTGTGTTTCAATGCTTAGGTATTATAACACTTGTAATGATATACCAGGAAGGAACTGTTTGTTCTGTTGAGTTTATCCAAAAAGCTTCTGCAGAAAAAATAATCTCCATGAACCTTAAGTCTGTAGCAAACCTCTACACTAGTGATGGAGGTGCACAGTCAAAAGCATAGGCACAAATGCCCTAATGCTACACTGCATCAATGAACATAAAGGTGATGAAGTTAATCTTCCAAAAGAAAATGAAATCTGCTAAAGAGGTTGTAAGGTGTGAATTTCTGTGACTGAACTATTGACACAAACACTTTAGCTTCTGAGGAGCTATTTATTTATAATAATTATATCTGAGAAACTACATAAACACTTTGACAGTTAGAGTCTTCATACTACAGTTTGAATTGTACTGACATGATTTTTCTTCAGAATGAAACTACATACGCAGTCTACAGAGAGAGAGATTTCCACATTAAACACTGAAACACTGCTTGAGCTTTTATTACAGGAAGATTTATTTTGTCAGCATAGTGAGGTTACTTCTACACACTTTGAGATTGTATCAGATTTGCCAAAATCATCTCTTAAGTCCTAGTAAATCAGAATTGCAGAAGAAATTGAGCCCTGACAATGGCTGAGAGACAAGTAGTGAGGTGGTTATGAAAGTTATTTGAATAGATTGTTCCAAGCTGCAAGAGTGAATCTTGTATTGCTGCATGTACGTATGAACAAAATGAGAAGCTTTCACACAGAACTGAATAGAATATATGAGTTAATTTGTCTTTAAGTTTATTTGGGGGTTGGGTTTTTTTGAAATGCCATCACAGCTAGGTTGACTAAATATTGGCAGTTTGTATTGTCAGCATGTAAGACATGGAAACAATATTTACAGAGCAGAGGTCAAAAGATCACTTGATGTTGTGGTTTAACCCTAGCTGGCAACTAAGCATCCCATAGCCTCTGGCTCACTCCATCACCTCCCCCTACTGTAGGGAAAGGAATTAGAAACAAAATTAATGGGTTGAGATAAAGCACTTAAATAATTGAACCAAAGTAAAAATATGGGAAAAAGAGAGAGAAAGAAAACCTGAGAAGCACAAGTGCTCATCACCACTCACTGACTGATACCCAGCCTGTTCCCCAGCAGCAAATGACCCCTCCCAGCCAACTTCCCCCCAGCTTAAATACTGGGCATCATGTTTTATCCCTTTGCCCAGTTCAGGTCAGGGTCCTGGCCCTGTTCCCTGAGCACCTTCTCACTGGCAGAGCATCAGACACTGAAAAGTCTTTGATTTGGGGTAAGTACTACTGAGCAACAACTGAAACATTATTATGTTATTGACATTATTCTAATACTAATTAAAAAAACCCCAGCTCTATACCAGCTACTAGGAAGAAAATTAACTCTCAGCTGAAACCATAAAAGTATCATCTGTTTTATGTCACGCAGAATCCCACACTTCCCAATATACCAGCACCTTTCCCATCTTTTTATAGATGCACACACAGATACCATTTCCTTAATCTATAGACAATCCCCGTAGAAGTCTACTGAATTAATTCAGTCCATGACTTTTGGCTTATGACAGTCGCAGGAAAGAGGGTGTCTGGTGTTGGATTGTTGCATGTTGAAGCCAGTTCTGATTCCGTCACTGCTCTGCTTGTCCAGTTACATCAAAGTTCATTCTTAATGCGGCAGTTCAGGGGAGCTGGGTTCAGATCCCCAAAGCTGGAGGGGTGGAGACAGGCACCATGAGGTGCCCAGTGCAATTGCAGGCATGCAGCTGACGGAGAAGTGCTAATACACAGCATTACACGGAAATTAACATCACACAATGCACAAACCAGACTTGCCCATCCCCCTGTCTTAAAAAGTGTGCCCAAGTCCTTCAGCAGAAACAATTCCACAGAAGAGTTTGTCTTTGTCCAAGGCAGGCACAACCCAGACTGTCTTCTGCAGGACAGTTTTCATATGCACTACAGGAATTTTATTCTTTCCTACAGGAAAAGTTTTGATTGGGCAGAACCAGCCCACTTGGTAGATCTTCTAGTGCCCATTCACCAGGTGGCCTTTGCCAATGTGCATCCCCATGTTTGAAGGTTCCCCCTGGCCATTGCTCTCAGTGTAGTCTCACAGTCCATTGGATCATGTGGTTTTCTCAGCTGGTGCATGATACAATATACCCACTAAATGCCATGTTCCTTGGCCCAAGCGTCTGTGACTGTTTTCCAAGTATTTCTAGTTTATTCTGGTCAAAAGCTTGGTGTTGCTCAGGGCCCCATGTGAAATCATTCTTCTGAATCACTTGATAAAGAGGGCTTACAATCAGAGTAGTTTGGAGTATGCATTTTCAAAAAATCCACATCTAAACCTGCATTCTTACTTTTTGAAGAAATGGATTAGAATTTCCATAGGATCAGGAGGAAATTCAGCCCTTCCACTCTGCCTGGGAAACCATCCACTGGAGATGGGAGTAGCAGCTTTCCTGGAAGAACCCCCATTTGGGATTGTTTTCCTTACAATTCATGTCTCTAGGGTCAAGGGAGGTCTCCCATCCCAATTCCTCATGCCTTCTCTGTGGTCTCTCAGCTAAACTCCCAGAGTATCCCATGGTGTGTGCCTTCCATATCCTCCCTCTTGAGCCAACACTTACTCTCATTAGCATGGGTCTGTAGAGATGAGGAATAGAACATAACCTCTTGAACTGCTGAAACTTCTGGGACAGTTTATCTGATAGTTTCTCTACAGATGAGAGGAAAAGAGGTTGTCTTCCAATTCCCAGAGACGGCAAGCCACTGTATCCACAGATGGTGGTGTGATGTCTTTTCAGATTAACATCAGTGGGTTGGTGTGTGTCTTGGTACACTCTACAAACTTCCACCACATGGGTCATGTGCAGAGGAATTGGCCAATTCCCTCAAGTATTGGATATCTTCTACTTGCATGGTGACATGTAGTATCATTCTTGTAAGGATACCTTTCCTTCAGGCTTGACAGGACTCGCTTCCAGAGGCTGGGGACTTGTGTCTCTCTTGCAATCACTTTGTCAATGCTTGTTTTCTTACAAAGTGATTCCTGCCCTCTAATTCCAGTCTGTTAGTTCCAATCACAGCATTGGAACAGCTAGCTGGTAGTATGCTCATCAGGACAACAGCTGAAATACTTGTGTATATCCTTCAGCTCACTCAGAAATAAGGATTGAGTGGTTGCCTCTTGTTGGCCTGTTACTGAAGTTTTTGTAGGTACAATACATGTTGGTGGGGTTTCGGTTGCCACAGATCTTTTCTTAACCCTAAAGAAGGCCTAAACCATATGCAATGTACTGATTGTTACCAAAAGGACCTGGTTGGTTTCAAGGGTAGTCACAGGATATGTGAAGTCTTTAAAATTCTCAAATGCTATTGTAATCATCCTGGAGGGGAAGGAAGGTGTTTTTGCCGTGGGTTGGCTCTCTGAGGGTAAAAGGCAGTAGATGTAACTGTGGATAGTTTCCACCAGATGGCTCCCAAAGGACAGTGGGGACACGCACCAGGCAGGCTCATGAACAGCCATTCTATCGTTTCACAAGCCAGAACAACACAGTGGTAACCTTAGCCCAGGCCTAGAGCAAATGAGTCAATATGGTGGCCAGCAAACTATAAAACCAATACAATGAAGGCTTATAACAAACTTGTTCTAACATGCTCTAGTCAGATCTGCTTTCATCTCAACCTTTTGAGTCGCACATTGTGTGCCAAAAAGAACTGCCAGCAGCTCAGCCAGCAGCCCAGCCCCATGTGGCTGCTTGTTCACTGTCCCCATCCCAGCCCAGTGGGAAAATTGGGAAAAAAAAAAAGTAAAACTGGTGGGTTGAGAGAACAACAGTTTAATAATTGAAACAAAGTAATATAAAATACTAATAATACTAATGACAATAATAACAATAATAATATGAATTGTAGTGAAAAGGAGAGAGGAGTAAAGCCCAAGAAAGGCAAGTGATGCACAACAGTTTCTCACCACTCACTGACCGATGACCAGCCTGTCCCCCAGCAGCAGCTGGCTCCTCCTGGCCAACTTCCCCAGTTTTAATACTGGGCGTGATGTTCTGGCATGGAAGCAGTCACCAAGCACCAAGCCTGTTTGAGTTCCAGAAGCGTTTGGACAATGTGACAGGCACATGGTGTGATTCTTGGGGTGTCCTGTGCAGGGCCAGGAGTTGGACTTCATGATCCTGATGGGTCCCTTCCAACTCAGCTTATTTGATGATTCTGTGATTCTATGCATATCCCTCTGGACAACTCAGATCAGCTGTCCCAGCTGTGCTCTGTCCCTGCTTCTTTTGCACCTCCTCACTGGAAGACCATGGGAATCTGAGGACTCCTTGACTTGGGGTAAGCACTACTCAGCAGCAACTAAAACAGCAGTGTGTTATCAACTTTATTCTCATATTAAATCCAAAACACAGCTACTATGAAGAAAATTATCCCAGCTGAAACCAGGACAGTGATACTTTTGTATAACAAGTAGTAATTTGATGTCCCTCACAGAGGCTGAAATCTTCTAAATAACAAAGGACTTGGTATGCTTGAAATCCTAAATGAAGCAAACAAGGTTACAATAAATAATAGTTCAAAGATTTTAAGCAGGTTAATATTTAGTGTACATTTCAGAAGAAACTAAGGCACTGAGCTTGACAAGAAATGTGTCTGATGTACTGTTAGTAAATGTTTTTTTCTGAGACAGGAGGTCTGCAAAATGCACTCTACACAGAAGTAGCAACCTATTCATAAATACAGGTATCAAACAGCTCTGTTCAGAGCATCTGATTTTTAAGTGCATTAACAATGATAAACAGATACCATAGCTCTTCAAAGCTTTATCTTTCTCAGATAGCAAACAGATAGTTGGTTTCAGGAAATTTCTTATATACATACTAGGTCAAGGATTAAGCTTATGCAATTTAGTATGTTTTGTTTTGATTAAGAAAATGGGTGGCGTTCAGGGATCTTTTAAAGTTACATCAGTATTACTCATGCTACTTTAACTCCTCTTGTCCTTAAACTGTAGATAGTGACATTAAGTCACTCCTTGTTGAAGTTTTATTCCTTTTGCACCAATGTGAAAAGCTGAAATGATGTAGATGTAGTTAAAGCCCTTTGAGCTGACTCAAGGAAGTGGGGGTGGAAGTAGTAAATTCAGCTTCCATATTTAGTCAAGGCTTTTGACCCACATTATTTGTACAAGAGTTAGGGCCCAATCTTTCTCTCATTGCTGTCTTGGACCATGTCTCAGTTAGTTAATCAATATGTACAAGAAGATGCAAAGTATGGAGCAAAGTGCTGCAGCTGCGTTGCACTTAAGACCATGCAATAGGAAGCTGTAAATGCAGACAGATAATGTGTTGCCAGGTACGGGCACAGCAGGAGTGAGGAGTTTGTATATATGGAAAGACATTACAGATCTAAGGAACTTTGAAGATATTTAAAGCTTTTAAAACACACTAGTGAACACAAAAGCCTTGCCTTTTCATTTGTAGATTGATAGTTCATCTTCTTTCTGTTAACAGAGCAGGAAAGGAATACAGGTGAAATAGCAACTTTTCTGGTGTTGGCTTGTTGGCTCTTTAGGAGCCTGATATATGAATGCATTTTTCCAGATTTCCAGCAATCCTCAGGGATTTTTTCCCCTCCTCTTAGAAAAAACTTACAAAAACAAATCCATTGAATGCTTTTAGGTATCAGTCATTATCTCATAAACCACTGTCAAACACCTTCTCTAGCTCGTCTTTCCAAGTCTTCCAGTTACACTTTTTGTCTAGCTCATGGCCAGAACTAAAATAGCTTGAGGAATTCTGACTTACTATTAAGAAATTTGAGTGAAATAAATCCATATCAAAGGAATACAGCTGGCACTGTCAGAAAGTTTCTACCAGTTATATTTTTACAGAACACTTCCTGAAATGACTTGTAGATAAGGATATGAGAGCAGTTCAATTTGGTTCTGATTGTCTTTTGTCTAGTTTGAAGAGGAGACACATGAATAGCTGAGTTAGACGTGTAAGCTGTAATTATGTAAAAAGACACATCTCTGTGTATTTACCACAGTAATGTAATGATTCACTTTCTGACCAGCACACTGGTTTCTATTAAGAAAACCAGCTAGTGTGTAGGATCAGGTTTATCTCAGCGTCAAGAAAGCTATTGCACAAAAATCATGTTAGAAAGGCTGTAAAAATCATTATAGTTACATATATAGTTATGTAAATGAGGTTTGTAGTGATTTATGTACTACTTGCATACTTACTGGGAAGAACTTTCCTCTGAAAAAGAAAGGAAAAAAAAAAAGAATTAGCACAAGAACAGTTTCCTTAGCTGTTTTAAAGTTCTTTGAAATAGTTATTCCTAGAATAGTCAGCTCTTCAGTTTCTAGAAGGAGTTTCTGAACCAAATGTCTCTTTTTGGTGTAGTGAGTTTAGGCTGAAGAAAGATTAGGCTTCAAGTGTAAATGAAACTCCAAGTGAACTCTAACGAGCAGCTCTGTAACCTCTGGTAATTTCAGGCAGCTGACCTTTTCAGACCCCGATGTTTGGCATCTGTTTTTGCTGTGTTCAAGCCTATAGGTAACCAATGTAAATGCTACAGAGAGGGTTGCTGGATGTCAAGCTTTATGTAGCAATCCCTAAAAGCAAACTTTTTCCATGACCCAGAGGAAGAAGACAGTTAGTTTCCCTTTCATCAGAACTTAGTTGGTCAGGCACTGTTGACTAAAACAGGTTTAATTTTATTTTGGCTTTCTTATGGATTCCTTATCAAAACGAGGGTGGAGAGGTTCCAAGAACCAGAGTCAGGCACGTTGCTTTCCCTAGGTTGTTGTTTCGTAGCCTTAAGCAACTGCGCAAACATCTCCATGTTGTTTTCAAAGTACCTTTTGCAGTAGATGTTGGCAGAATAAAAATGTCTGCACAAAATGTTGCTGTTTTAATGGTCTCCAGCTTTAGTACCATGGAGTTAGAACCTTCATGGAAAGGAGGACATCATCAGAATCATAAAATCATGGAATTGTTTGGGTAGGAGGGGACCTTAAAGATCATCTGGTTCCAACTCCCTGCCATAAGCAGGGACACCTTCCACTAGATCTGGTTGCTCAAGACTCCCTCCAACCTGTCCTTGAACACTTCTAGGGATGGGGCATCCACAGCTTCTCTGGGCAAGACAGAGTGTCATGGAAACACTGCTAAATAAAGACATTTTTTGACTTGAGGAAGGAGTGATTTTATTCTACTTACTTGCAAAGTAGCCCTTTTTCTGGGCATAGAATACTCCAAGGCCACACAGCACCATCACCAGAGCCACAAGTACTACAGCCACAATGATACCGCTTACATTAAGGTCATCTGTAATTATAAAGCAGAAGTCCTGTGTTCTAAATTGTAGAAAATTCCACTGGCTGGATTTTTCCATAATTACCACAGGCATCTTTGTATCTATAGGTGGGTTTTGGCCCGAGATGCATAAATTAATTAGTGACAGTTAGATGTATTTCAGCAGTAAAAAAGCACTAATGTGCCACAGCTACTTTAACAGAAGTGCTTGGTACACATCAACTGCTTAGTTTGAGTCAAAAGTAAGGAAAGAATAAGAAGGACCAAGGGATACATATTCCTTATCATATCTACCCCAAATAAGTATTACCCAAGTCATATGTCTCTGAGGAAAAACATCTTGAAATCTTTCTCAGTGTTAAAGCAAGTTTTTTCATATAGTTAATTTGCTTAACACAACTGAAACAACTGATGGCAATTGAGTTCCACTTCTAAAGAACTCTTCAAATGAGTTTTTTGAAATGCAATGATTTTAAATGGCAAGGCTTTTAAAATACAACACAATAAAGCTGAGTTGCATGAAATTAAACTCTACACCAGGCTGCTAAAACATCTGGCCATTTTTATTTTGAAGGTTTGACTTCAGCCATGACAAAGACCACACCCATATCCTGATATACTCACTAAGAGCTTCAGACTATCATTCATTTTAGGGAAACCAAAATTATCAAGAAGCAGAAACATTTTCATAGTTTTTTCTTTGTTTCCAATTATTTGCATCCCAACTTCAAGCATATTTTAGTATATCGTTGAGATTTTTACCCCAAAACTTAATAAATTTTTGTACAATTTAGGCTGACAGCAATTTAAGACTTAAGCATATTTTCACAAAGTGATTCTATCTCAGTAGCTTGAGGAACATGTGCTCGTGATCCACCAAGAATGCATTAAAACCCATGACACAGTGATTTTCAGCTAAGTTCCATGAAAGCACCATATGGAACTTTGCAGTACCATGTACTTCTTTATGGAACACTTGGACAGGATCTTCCCTGCAGTAGTTATTAGGATTTGTTACCATTTGCTTTCCTGTGATATCTGCAAGAACCAGTTGTATATTTTGCAAAAAAAAAAAAACCCTCACATATAATTTTGGGTTATTACAGACTGTTACATTAAGATTTCCCATGAATGAATCCCAAAAGGGAGGCTTTATGTAAAAAAAACCACCCCAGTGGACTGGCCCACTCTTCTGTAAGCCTTCCACAAAAGCATTTGGAAATATTAAAGTTCTCCTCTGACTGATGCTTTTCTGTGAAGTTCAGTGTTTAGCAATCAAAAAGCTAATTACTGCGATAAGGAACTTATTATTTCTCCTCCCCCCAAATGCCATAATCAAATAAAAATATTTAATTCAATCTGGTCTTAGATTCTTAGTTATACCATGCAATTACATAAATCCTACTACAAGACTGTTTTCCACCATACTTTTCTTTAACACATACCAACTTGCATTCGCTTCACTGAGCATTTCTGAGATAATCCAATCCCATTAGAGGCTTCACAGAAATACTCTCCAGTATCATTCTTTGTAACTGTATTAAACAGCTGTTAAGAAAGAGTCCAAAACCATTATCAGAATGGGGCGGGGGGGAATCCTGTAGGACAGAAATTTTGACATGTCAGTGTAGATTTGTTTGTTTTAAACAAATGAAACCCAAAACCCCTGAAGGCAAGTAAGAAATTCTGGTCCATTTCAACCTTGTAACAGCTCCCTAGTCACATTCCCTGGTCCTTCAATTCTGCTTGTTGCCTAAGAGGTTCCTTTAGATGGACATTAACTCAGTGGAGTGTATCTACAAAGAAATCAATTTTCAGTGGACCAGAACTTTCCAATAATATCCACTTTTTTAGATATGCTCTAATTTCAGAAAACCTGAAATAGTTTCTTCATTTTGTCAAAACAACAACCCCATTACCAGATCCATAAAAAAACTTGACACATACTACTTATGATGCATTGTCAACTGAAATTTTTCAGAAGTAAAGAGTTGTTTGGGTGGTTCTCAACGCTCTAAAAATGCACTTTGTCTTCTTCCAACAGAGAAATGCTAAACCATACTATTTATCAAATACTACTACTGTAAAAATGAAAATGAAATGAAAATGAGAGGGTAGCAGGACATTTTCCCCCACCACAGAAGAGCTTATCTGTTGCTTGTTGGTGCAATAACTCAGAGCATCTTGCTCGCACATGAGCCTCACATGAGCCTTGGTGAAGTAACTCAATCAGGACAGTTTATCTTGTAGTGAATTATTTCATCACCATGGGATTGATGCTTTCAGCTGACAGTAAACATCGTGCTGTGGAAGCAGATGTGGGAAGACAAAGCTGGAATTTCTGACTGACATACACTTCACTTTACAAACTATAACAGCTACACCATATTTTCACAAAGCAGAAATCTGCACATTCCCTGGAAATGTGTGGGGTCTCCCCCCCAAAGTCAGGACCCCACTTTGTGGTTACTCTCCTGGGGGCTGTAAGGACCCTGTGTATGCTATCAGCAATTTGATGGTAAGTTACATTGACTGTTAACCTATACTATTCCCTTGCTAGCTGTAATATAGGTACCTTAATGTCATGCACTGTTTCATGTAATCTACTAGTAGTTCTTTTATTTTACACTGTGTATTAAGTAACTGTTTAAGGCCTCTTGTCTGTTACTTTCTGCCAATTCAATAAGTAACTCATTTTATAATAGACCTAACTGTCCACTCTTAAGAACTTGTGAGCCAGAGCGATTTAGGTGCAGGTCACCTAAGTAGAGCTGCTGCAAAAAATCTAAGCCTAAGGCAGGGCTTTTCTAAACCTCTCACTTGATCTGTAACAAAGAGATGGATAGAAACTGACCTCATGACAATTCCAGTATTTCTATTTTCTTAATTATTAGACTTGTTAACGGTTTCTTTTAATGTATGCTATACTTTGATATTTTCAGAAGTGATTAGTAAGTTTGAGTACTCCACCTGATTTCCATGATGAGCATTCAGAACATCTGAATGCTTAGTCATACTTCAGTTTCCATATTTGATTTTGTACAAGAGCAGTGTTCTTAGAATAACTCTTTACTTCTGAAAAATCTCAGCTCCCTAAGTAGCTTCAAGTTCTTTTGAAGGATCAGCTAATGGGGGAAAGAATGACAGAGACAGTCAGCTCTGAAGGAAAATAAAATCCAACACCACAACCCAAAAAACAAACTACAACTAAAATGAAGAACTAAGCTTACTTACAGTCCCAACTCATTCTTCCTGACTTCACAGGTCTTGGATGGGAACTTGTAAATGGCACTGGATTTCAGAGATCCTGTACTGCCCTGAGTGCTGCACTCCCCTTGAATTGTATGAAGCTACTATTCCAAATTTTAAGGTTCCGTCAAACATATCTCTGTTACCATACCAAAACCTCATTTGCACCTGGCACTAGTTTGCCAACTGACAAGGTAAAATTTGTCATGTATTTCCAGATACTCAGTTATCAGTACTGCAGCCTTGTACCTCACCCAGTTTGTGTGTATCATTCAATGTCTATGGCTTGTCACTGGTTTGAGGCAGAAACCACCTTGTACATTTCTCAGCACATTTCAGCATGACACTGACTTCCAACAAAGACCTTGTGAATTTTTGGATTTAGACCCCCATGCATCATTTTACTGAACAGTAAATTTGGTCTCCTTGATAGCTGTCTATGAAAGAGCTGGTTATTACACTTACCAGAGTGCCAGACTTTTTATTCATGGTGTAAGTTATATTTGCTGCTCTAGCACTTCCTGTTCCTGTCTTCTCCAGCAAGGCAACACCATTCTTGTACCACTGGTACTCAGATGGAGGGGAGCCCTCATTTTCCTTACAACTCATCTGCACAACCGTTCCTGTCATTGCGGAGCTGGGTACCTCACACACTGGAGTAGTTGGAGCAACTGGACAGTGAAATTGAACTTGTTACACATGTACTTATACTGCCCACATGTGTCAGAGTCTGAAGTAGTTCATACCTCAAACACTGATATAAAGTTTTGCCCATTATAACAAAAACTATAAAGAAGCTACAACCAAAGAAGACTCCCTGAAGATACCTGATTTGGACTTTGGACTGAAAGTCAAAGTGCTGAGATTCAATAAAGTGAAAACTCATTCTTCAATCCCCTGAAACAAGCAAGTAAACAAAGAAAAGAATGTGAGACAAACCCAGCAGCTGTGCTAAGAATTATCTCGGGCTTGCTTTGGGGTGAGGGAGGCTGTAGCCTCTCACTGATAGTGGAGACAGGAATGTGACATATACACACCAAGGTTCATGCAGCAACAGCCAGAGTTTATCGATGCGAGCCTGCTTTGTGCGGGCTTTCAATTTCCCACACTTACAGATATTATTGGTCAAAGGTCTTAGCTCTGCCCAGCTCACTGGTCAATGATATGGATGCATTCCTGTTCAAAGGGATTGGCTGGGGTCCCCTGAATTCAGCCTATCAACTTAAAACCTGGGCACTTGTTACTCCTTATTCTCTAACGAGCTAGGCTGGTCAAGTTGGTGTCTCTTATGGCCTAATTATCTGTGCAGCTATAGACCAGCTATAGTTGTCACAGTAGCCCACTGACCCATTTGCTAGGAGCAGGTTTGCACAGATTTCCCCCTCCCCAGCTGAGGTGGGGGAGGACGTTTTGGCGTGTTGTAACCTCTGCTCGGGGCAGGGAACCCATCCTCCCTTACATAACCTGGCTATGAAACCCCTAACCTTGGGAAGGCCACATCCACAGGACAGTCAGGTGAGAGGCAGCTGAGGGGGTGCCTTAACCCATCAAAGGCCCCCTAAAGTGCTTCCCAGAGTCATTCCTGAAGCTTTGTACCACAGGACTGCATGTGATGCAACAAACCCAGTCTGCTGTAAGAGACATGGTAAACACCCCCTGCCCCCAAGGGAGAAGCCTGAATTTTCCTACCTAGCCTGAGTGTATATTAACCAATCAGATTCTATGCTTTCAGGGGGGACTTTCACTACCAAGAAGACCAGCTGGAGAGGATCAGTGAAACATCATTGGGATCCATGGAGTGGTGGTATTTTCCTTATTCTGTCCTTGTTACTCTCTGTCCCTCCCACCTATTTCTTATTTCTCTCTCTCTCCTTCTCTCAAATATTTACTATTAAATTAACCCCATACTATTGTCACTGACATATGGTTTCATTTGTGCCTTGATTTGGGCAGGGGCATTTCTAAGAACTTTACTAATAGGATCATGACAACATGACAGTAGGCTGACAGTCATTGTGAGGAGATAAGCACTTGTGCACGTTTGATAACTACCACATCAATGAAATGAAGTGTAGGAGAAGGCTGGAAGGCACAATCCTGCTACTGAGAGCACAGTAAAATTTATGAGTTGCTAAAAATGAAAGAGGTGCTCACTGCCAGCCTTCCCCCACCATATGCTGTGTCATTCTGTCTCCAATCTGTTCATTTTCATCCAACCCCAGAGAGTTTGTTTCACTTTCTTTTTTGTATGCAACCTCTTGTTCACAGACAGAGATGGGATAACTTGGAATCTGTAGTCCAGCAATTGGCCCCTCCCATACCCTAGTATTTAAAAATGCAAGTGAGGAAGAGGAAAAAAAGGTTTTGTGTTAAAAGGAGTAAATTTTTGAGAAGTGAATGTCAGAAACATCAGCAGTCATCATAGGCACTTTATAAACCCCAGTCTGCGGACCAAAACCAATTGGTTACTACATTCCAGTTTAAATTAAAAATGAACATTCCCCCACAGATGTAGGAGAACTATTTGTTCCTTCTCCTATGAAGATGAACATCTCTTTTTTGGTTTTTAATATGTGAACAGAAAAGAAACTGATTTTTTTTATTTTTTGGTACTTAACATTATATAGAAGAAAAATAATGGTGAAGAGGCATCCATGGAACATTAAAAGAACAACTGACACCTTAACTAGTATTGATAGTTTTTTCTTGGTTGATTTTAAGATAAAAAGCAGAAATAAAGAAAACCAAATAAAATACTAATTCACATTATCTTTCAAAAAGGTTTGTAAGCAACACATACCCTCCCCCCACCCTTTCTCCTTGGCCCTTGAAGACTTCAACTTTAAATTAAGAAGCCACATTTAAAACAGGAAAGCTGTTGAGAAAGTAGAAGAAAGTGGGGTTACCTCATTGTTGATGCTAATCAGAAGTTCGTGCATTTATCATCTTTTATGAAGAACTTAGAAACTTTATGTATACTTTTGAATAATCAATTATTATTAGTTTTAATTGGACAAATATAGAATCTACAAAAGCAAGTATTTTCTTTTGTGCCTGTACAGCTAAAAAAGGAAAACTATTGGCCTCTACCACTCATCCAGTGCAACAAATACCAAACCCAATGTGAGAACAATGTTCTCAGCATTCACTTTTCCATCAATTCCTTAACTGGGAAAGAAAACAAAGACCCACAAAGAACAACTGCTCCCAGCAGGCACCACCACCTCTCTTCTAAATAAAGTCCACTGATTGTCAGTTCTCTGGCTGTCATTGCACAAAAACTCTCTCCTTCCAAAACCAGGACAAGACTAGCATATTGGATCGAACTTCTGCTTATGAATTTTTGATAAGTGTTGACAGATGCTGACTTTCCAGTGCCAAATACCATGATCATCTTATCCAGATTCTCAGTCACTGAGCGACTTCAGTTTTGAGAACTGAAAGTCACTTTGATTTCATAAAACCCTAGTTATGTCCCCTTCTAATGCAAGTGTGACTTTTGCTAAGCTGTTTTGTGATGTTGTAGAATGTTCATGTGTTTATAAACCCAGCCTGAAGAAGACCCAAAAACCCAGCAGCCACACACTGTGTGGACAACCCTACCTTCAACATCCCAACTCCCCATCATCCAGTTTCTTTAAAAAGCCTAAGTAATAAAGTTTGTACCCAATACTGTGAGAGTAATAGTAGCCTCTCCCAGGCGTTGCCCCTCTTCACTCTTGGCACTGATTTCACAGCGGTAGGTCCCGGAATCCCTTCTAGTCACATTCCTAATTCGGATTCCTGTATTCAACATCTCTGCTCGGCCTCGAAGATCACCTTTAGGGAGAACAGACAGAGAAGTTTCTGCTCGTTGCGTATAGAATCATAGAATCACAGCATGGTTTGGATTGGAAGAAACTTTGAAGATCATCTTGTTCTATCCCCACTGCTATGGGCAGGGACACCTTCCACTAGACCAGGTTGTTCCAAGCCCCATCCAGCCTAGTCTGGAACACTTCCAGGGATGGGGCAGCCACAGCTTTTCTCGGCAACCTGTGCCAGTGCCTCACCATCCTCACAGGGAAGATTTCCGTTTCTATATTTCTTCCGCATATCTAACCTAAATTTCCCCTCTTTCAGTCTGAAGCAAATATCTATGGCTCATTGGCTTATTCTGAAGTCATGTACAATTTATTGATATTTTACGTCATATTGTATATGAAACTATTGCTCATTTGTTCAGTGTTAGTTACCTATCAGCAAAGAGCAATATGTAATCCCCTTCTCAAAACAGTATGAACCTTCCATTTAGTCCAAAAAACCACCCTCAATTCAAAAAAGCTCCATCTGCCATACATAATCCACTTGGAAGATAGAATGCATTTTTCTGCAGGTGTTTCAAGAAAATATGTATAGCAGTAGTGAGGTGACTGAAAGACATCCCTTTCCACTAGAGACATGACAATCACTAACTTAATTACTTTAAAGAAAAAGTTGTGAGTGTGACCACAGCAGAATATTTGACATTTTAACTTGCCAAGAAAAACTTGATGGATTTAGCAACAGTACTGCCATCAGACTTCTAACAATGAAGAAGTTTTTTTAATTCTACAGCTTATTATGAAAATAACATGCACACACAGAAGCATGAGTTCTAGTGTTTCTATAAATTAAATACATGCAGGAAAAAACCAAGTTCATCAAGGTCAACACATCTGCAAGCTCTACAAATTAACAAAATCTCTGTGCTTTTATTTTACTTCTCAACATTCATTTATTGTGTACAATGTAACAGAGACCCATATGTTCTCCAACACACAAAGCTTAAGTCCTTTTCAAAACATGCAAAGAGAAATTCTACTTCTGAAAAGAATACAAATAATTTATAATACACAGCTGAGTTTATATTTTATGTATATAAAAAATGCTGCATTATTCATATCTAAGCCTCCTGCTTTACAGGAGGCTTCAGAAACCTCTTTTTAGGATAGGAGTGGAGAGCCTGCAGTAGTTTAGGGGAGTTTACATCCACATGTAATTTCATTGTTGAAAAATCCCAAGGAATCTGCAGTACCATTTTTCTTAGTCTTTAATTTTACTATATTTAACTTAATTAAAAGGTAACTAATAATTGATGATTTTGTAAAGAAATGCCTTTTTTTTTCCCCTGAGAAGAATTATCTTTCTCAAAATGACAGCTCTTCTATATGAACAGTCAAGAGCCTTCTTGTTCAATCTTATTCTTGGTGCTGTTCCCCAAGAAAGAGTCAATAGTAATGCTAGAGAACGACATGTTAAACCATCTGTTTGCAGTACTGTACCTGTAAATTCACTATTGTAGTAGACAAATGAGACTCCTTGAGATTGGATTTTCTTCCACTCTATTCTTAAACTCATTCCTTTCGAAAATTTGTGTTTGCAACTAAGAATAGCCTCTAGAGGGAAGGAAAAAAAAGAAGACAAAAGAGAAAATTAGAGATTTTAGTACTGTGTTGGTATACATTCAGGCTCCATGAAATTCATGTTCCTCCTTCAAAAGAATTTGTACAGTCAGCAATGGCCAGATCTACTTCTCAAAGTGATGCTTCTCCAGATTTACAAACACAGTGGGGAAAAATAAAACAGTAATTTTCTTATACTTCAGTGGCTTTTGGGTCAAACTTCAGATGCTGAAGATTCCCATGCTGGATAGGGTTTGTTACTTTCCCCATCTAACATGGGAATATCTACTTTTATTTTTTATTACTACCTTCATTTTAGTTTAAACATTTCTGAGCAGATCGCCCCTAATAAAAGGGACTCTGACCATGTTATAAACATATTTTTTGAATTACCATTCTGAATTCAGTATCAATAGCTTTTCTGTTTAAATGGAGATGAAAAATATTCTAGTAAGATGGTTAAAGAAACAAATGCAATATAGACCTTGCTACCTGTAAGCCACTAATTTTCCTATACAGGCCACAGTATCCGGAACAAAAGCCTTTATAGTTTTGACAAGGCCTATCTAGCTTCCATAATGCAAACATGCACTGCTCAAACATAATCAGCCATCATTCTCCTTTCCAGTCTAAACAAATGAGGCTGGAAGGTAATTAAGAGCTACAGACAGATCTACTCTCTTGCCCTTCAGAGTCTGATTTCCTAGGTCTGCTCTGAAAAGAAACAAAAACCCAGACTGGTAGCCTTGGTGAAACCTCACAGGGGAAAAAAATATCCAGACTTGAAAGAAAAATTGAGGCAGGAGGGCATTCCTTGCCAGAAACATGTTACACGTGCACTGGCTGCTTTGAAAAACATACTGTGCACTCAGGAAGTCTGAGGTTCCTGACTTCAGGTTGAGTGTATGGGTGGAGGCTTCCTGAATCTTAAGATTTTGCTAGTTTCCTTCCCATTTTGTTTTTGTATCCTTCTAACAAAGAAAAACCATCATTCAAGCTTAGCTTGCTTTTGCTACTGGCCTTGTGACAGTTGGCTTGTCAAATGAGCTGGTCTCTATTAGCTGACACAGAGACAGCTCAGCTGAAGTGTTCTCAGCTGAACAAGTCACCTCTGTCTCAAATGAGCTGTCCCTTTCTTGCATGCCACATGTTTTTGTTTCAGAAAAAAAACCCCAGCAGTGATGCCCACCCACTAATCTTATTCAGAGAAAAGGAATGGATGGAAGAAAGGGAGTGTGCACAGAACAGAGACAACATAAAATAAAATTGTCCTTAGTTATAGCACCCCTCTCCTGCTTTTTCCCATAGTAATGGAGTCAGGGAGAGGTATTTTCCAGATTTGCATTAAGGTAGGTCCACAGGATACCGTGCATCAGCACTGGTACTGCTAGGCCTACAAAAGCCCTCTGGAATCTTGGAGAGATCTGCACAATATTTAATTTGGATTTACATCTGGTCTGGAGGCTATTATTGGTGATAGAATTATAGAATATCTCAAGTTGGAAGGAATGCTAAGAATCAGTGAGCCCAACTCTCTGCTCCTTGCAGAACTGCCTAAAACAAAACCATGACTAGGAGTGTCACCTAGATGCTCCTTGAGATCTGTCAGGCTTGGTACCATGACCACTCCCCTGGGGAGCCTGTCCCAGTGCCTGACCATCCTCCTCTACAGTAAGAGGAGTTAGAGGAGAAAAGGAAAATGCATTTCAGACCAGCTGCACCCAGTGGAATAACTGTCTATGGGCTCTACCATCCCTTAGTGCTGCTACACAGGGAGAACTTGGCTCGGCATCTGAGCTGTGCAAAACTGATTCCATTCAATGTACAAATAGCAAAAGAAAAAATGCAAGCCATATGCCATATAAAAAGAGAATTTAATCAAACTTTAATATTAGCTGAAGCATTTCTCTCTGCTTTTGCCTGCCTTGAGCTCTAAATGCTTTCTGTCAATAGAAGAATACCTAACAGAAGTCCAGATGACAGTTTTAGAGACCTCTAAAATATCTGATTATTACCTCAAGAAGCTGAATAAGGTTTAAAGCTCAGAGAACAGTTTTTTGATCCCAAATTCCCAGCTCTCTCTCTACTCCAATCAAATTCAAAAAACAAACCCACATAACCCACAAAACTCACACTATAGTACTCCCCTTTCTCATCTACCCAGCAAACAGGTTTTCCTTTTTGCCTCTGTAAGCTCTCCACCCCATCATCAGAAATAATTTGCTATTTTATATATGACACGTATATATATACATATATAACTATGTAAATAGCCATTACAGCTAATGACAAGTAAAAATAGCCATTCAATTATTGTTACTTACAATTAACTAACTTATATGTGTTCTCTTTAGTCCCTCACTTTTCTGTCTTGTAGCATATTTAATGTTTCTCCTTTCCATCAGCTCCCATAATATTCTATGGAAGGGAAACCAGGCTGCTGACAAACAAGTCACAGCACCACAGAACAGGGGAGGTTGAAAAGGATCTCTGGAGAGCACCTAGGTCAACCCCACCTCGAGTAAGAGAAAATGGGGACAAGATCAAGATAATGCAGAATCAGTGGAGAGAGCAGGCACAAGACCCTTCAGGAAAGAGGAAGAAAACTTCAATAGCTGCCCAGCCTCTGTATACATAGTTTGCATGTATTGTGTATATATTAAAAATTATCACAACAATGCCCATACTGTACCTTTAAACTCCTCTGCTTTTACATTTTTATTATCTGTTTCAATGGAGATTCCAGACACACCAGGATCTGCAGGGGGACAGCAAAGAAAAGACAATTCAGCAATAAACATTTGTGATTTCACATGTGCTGTGGCAGCTTCAAGCAATATTTTTGAGACCTCCTCACACTGTGCAAGTTAGACATTGCCTACAAGAGAGAGTACAAACTAAGGGCTAGACCAGGGCTGGCCTTGAACAGTTCATCTTTTTTCTCCAGGTTCTGGCATCTGTAAAATATAAGCAATATTTCTTTTTTTACAGTGGCATAATGATATTTGCATGTAACAAGTTCTATATAAACAGTAAACATTTTATACTATGGCAATGTCTGTTTATAACTGGGGAGGCATCTATTAATCAATAAGGGTATTTTCCATAACATTCTTATTACAAGGCATGCATATCTTCTGAAGAATACCACTTACAGATTCTACAGGGTAAAAATATGTACCATAATTGGCAATTATCTCAAATTCTTCTTGAAATGGGAAGGAAGATAATAAAGATTTATCTAGTTTTAACTCAAAGAAAGAAAAAAATCCCCATACACTCTCATATCTCATTGTTACCTTCCACTAAGGGGGAACTGCAGGACGTTCTTCTAAAACAGATGGCTGAGGATGGAATTACATGAAACGAGGCAGGTATTATATCTGAGAACCATTTATTGGTAGTGAAAAGTGTTGCAGTTCGTTTGAGGGGACTCCCCAGGGAGTCCCCAGAGGACCCCTGGGCTGTGAGTTGGCTGGCAGCAGCAGGCAGGCAAGGAGACTCCACACGGCTTTTGAGGGTGCCGATTAGATGAGGGATTATTGGGGTCCCACCCCTGGGAACAGCAAGGTTTCTGAGGAAAAAGAGGGGAAGGGGAAGGGAGGGAGAGCTTAGGGAGAAAGGGGCCAAGAGCGAGTCTGGCCTCCCTCGCACAGCTTAAGAGGGAAATTCAAAGTGGGCGCGGAATCAGACTTGGGCCAATGGGATTACAGACACATGAGACTTCAGGGCAGGACCACAGATGTGGAATAAACCATACATTTTCAAGGGGTGAGACAGAGCATATCATTTAACTAAAATGTAACACCACAATTCACCCTTTTTTCGTCAGAAAGATAGAGAGAAATATGACAGCAATTTAAAAATGAAGCAGTAATTACACAGTTTCGCAGCATAAAAATAAATACAACTGCAGTGAGGACTGTGTTGTAAACAGTGCATTTGACTTGATGTTTGCTTTTGGTGGTAGGCAGCAAAGATAAAATGGGCATTTAATTGTAATAAATGGGTTATGTGGGTCCGTATTGCCAATTTTTAAATGATTTTAAAGCATAGGCGAGTGAGAACCATTTATTGGTAGCGAAAAGCATGTTGCCCTACTAAGGAAGAATAGAAAAGACAGAAAATGAACACGGAGAAGGAAAAAGAATGGGCAGAGAAAGAGAGGGGGGCGACTGAGAGAAAAAATGGGCGCTACCACCAGAACCTCAGAGTGGGCCATCAACGTCCAGCTGGCAGGTGGCGTGGGCATGCACCCCGCCGTGGGGAGCCTTTGCCACTCCCAGAGCAAAGACACGGCTCCTGCATGAACGGGCAGCCAGACACGAGGTGAGAGGGCTCGGGCAGGAGGTGCAGAACCCTGGGCAGGGTCATGGATACCGTGGCGACAGGCTAGATCAGCGACGCAGAGTTGGAAGTGGGTGGCTCAGGCAGGGACAAGGCAGGCAGGGAGTTGAAGCAGGTAGAGCATTGGGCAGGAACACAGGCAGGCAGGACAGGCGACAGCTTGAGCATGGGAGGGAGATGAAGTGGGAGGGCTGGACACAGGAAGTGGTCAGCAAGTGCCCAGCCAGGGAGGGGGACAGCAAGAGAGCAAGGGCAAACAAGGGCCGGTGAAGGCAAAAATGGGGGCAAAATAACCAGCTAGTCAGGGCAAAATGACAAAAAGCTCCAAAGCTTTTCACATAGTTACTTTTATAACCCCTGGCTCCTCCCAAGGTCTGCAGTGCTGAGAGGAGATCATTGGCCCAGTCCAACATTCCATTGCAGCCATTTGTCCTTTCACCATCTGACTGGAGAACCTCTCTGGAGGTCAGTGTCCTTAGTGGTCTCCTACTGATTGCCTATTGTATGTGAGATGTGAGATGGCTGCCAGGCAAAGTCTTCTGGGAGATGGGGCTTTCCATCTTCTCCTAGCTGCCTCCTGCACTTGTACAGCCCCTCCCCCCACACCTCTGGTAATTTCAAATAATATCAAGACAGAGCTCAAAATTAAATTGGTTCCTCACACTCATGTATTGGGAACACTGAAATTCCAGAAAGAACAAGTGAAATAACCACTAGAACCACATCAACCCCCACCCAGCTACCAGGAGTTGGGCACAGGTATTACAGTTAATCCATGTCAGGCTAGCAAGTGCTTAACAACTGAACACAGTTCTTTACACAGGTGTACTTTTTTTTTTTTTTTTTCCCCCCCCCCAAAGCATCTCAAGTTCTCTTGGTTTAGTACCAGTTTTGAAGACAGCACAGACACTTCTAATGCAGTCTGTTTCCTCCATCTGCATCAGCCAACTGAAAAATTGCTATAGCAGAAATGGACAAGAACTGAGAACCTGTTTCCATGATTATTTAAAAACTTGACTTGGTTAAAAACAATTTTCTTTTGACTGACAGAAACTAGGAAAATAGCAAGATTAGATGTTCTTAAGCACACAGACCTCCTTTGTCCATCCCTAAATTATTAATTTCCCTTCCCCCTGCTTAATGGGGGAAGAGTTGCACACACCCTAACAGATGAATATCTAGTCTTGACCTGAAGACACAAACAAATTAACAATTTCTTGATTCTTACGGCTTTCTTTTAACAGTTGATTACTTTTGTTGAAGTTAGTGCCTCACTTCTGCCTTGAGTGAGTCCATTTGGGCTTTCAGTGCTCAAAGTTTTGTTTGTTTGAAGATATCATCATAGAATCTCAGAATGGTTTGTGCTGCAAGGGATCTTTAAAGGTCATCTTTACAGTTCCCTACAAATGAGCAGGAACGTCTTCAACAGGAGTAGGTTGCTCAGAGCCCTATAGAGCCTGACCTCGAATGTTTCCAGGGATGTGGCATCCACTATGTCTTTGGGTAATGTGTGTCAGTGTTTCCCCACTCTCACTGTAAAACCCTTCTTCCTTATAGCTAGTCTGAATCAACCCTCTTTTGGTTTAAGCCATTACCCCTTGTTCTAACCCACTACAGGCCCTACTAAAAAGTTTGTCCACATCTTTTTTATAAGTCCCCTGTAAGCACTGAAAGGCTACAATAAGGTGTTCCCAGAGCCTTCTCTTTCACAGGGTGAACAACCCAAATTTTCTCAGACTGTTTTCACAGGAGGCATGCCATATCCCCATCATCATTTTAGTGGCCCTCTGGGCTTGCTCCAACAGGTCCATGTGCTTTCTATGCTGGGAACCCAGAGCTGGATGCAGCACTTCAGGTGGGGTCTCACCAGAGTCAGGCAGAGGGACAGAGTCCCCTCTCTTCCTTACTGCCCACAGGGCTTTGGATGCAGCCCAGCACACAGGGGATTCCTGGGCTCCCAGTGCACACAGCTGGGGCATGTCCAGCCTCTCACCCACCCACACCCCCAAGTCCTTCTTGTAGGGCTGCTCTGTTCATCCCCCAGCCTAGACTGATACCAGGGGTTGGCCTCACCCAGGTGGAACACCTTGAATTCAGTCTGTTTAAACCTCATGACATTCCCATGGGCCATTTCTTGAGCTAGTCCAGGTCCTTCTGGATGACAATCAAATCTTCAAGTGCACAGCAACAGCACCACTCATCTTGGTGTCATCAGCAAATCTGCACTCGATCCCTTTGTCTGTGTCAATAATGAAGACATTAAACAGCATTGATCCTATACAACATAGGACCCTATCACAGTTTTCTTGTCAATTAAAGATCATTCCTTATGGTTTAAGTCCAACACCACAGAGGGAATTCTTCATTGATTCTGTTCCTATGGCCTTTTCCCTCCTTAATTTTCTAGAGTTTTTTTCAGCATCCTTTAAAAATACAAAGTACAGTTCTACAGGTATCTGTAACCACTGCTTCTGAGTCATGGAGCAACACTCAGAAATGGTATCTGAGGCCCTGGCACTGTAGCAAGAGTTCAGTTATTCATTCACTGTAAATTGTGGTGCATTGACTTTGCGTGGCTGCCGGACACCTACATGGCTGCTCGCTCACTCCTCCTCCTCAACATGACCAGGGAGAAAATAAGATTAAAACCTCATGGATCAAGAGAAAGATGGGAGTCAGGGAGTTTAGTTAGCCATCACAGGCAAAACAGACTAAATTTAGGAAAAAATAATTAAATTTACTGCCAGTTTAAAACAGAGTAAATGCAGTAGTTGTGGGAATGTGCTCTTCTCTGCTGCTCCTTCCTCTGCATGCTCTCCCCTACTCCAACATGGGTTGCTTTCTATAGGTCACAGTTACTGCCAGGAGCCTGCTCCAACATGGATTCTCTGTGGTTCTTTCTTGCTATCTCACATCCCCTTCCAAATACATGTCCAACAATTCTTGTGTCTAAAAGAACACAGCCTCACCTGACAGTGTAAAGTGAATTTTCATGTGTGCACATTACCAAAAGATGCAAATTGTGTATAGCTATCCTGTCTGTAATATGTTTCAATTCTATCCACTTTATGTTACCCCAAAAGTTATAATCAGTTGTTTATAATATGAAATATTATAACATGATACTATTATAATATTAAGACATGAAGAATTCTAGCAATGACATTTATGTACTCTGAGAATACTGAAATAGCAAAAAACATATTTGCACTACAAATAGAACTTAGAAATTTTTTCCATCCCTCCAAGAAAGGTTTCCTACTGAACTTTAAAGAAAGAAATTTTTAAAATCCTCTGTATAAGCCCCCTCACACCCTGCTGAAACCAGAGGAGGAAACCATTTCTCCAGTGTCTCCCAAAGCAATAATTTCTCCTGCAAGTCTATACACAGCCCAGCTCCTTTATTTTTTT